GGTCATCTGACAAAGCTCCGATCTAACTACCACCCACACTGTCACTATGGTCATCTGACAAAGCCCCGATCTAACCACCACCCACACTGTCACTATGGTCATCTGAGAAAGCCCCGATCTAACCACCACCCACACTGTCACTATGGTCATCTGAGAAAGCCCCGATCTAACCACCACCCACACTGTCACTATGGTCATCTGAGAAAGCCCCGATCTAACCATCACCCACACTGTCACTATGGTCATCTGACAAAGCCCCGATCTAACCACCACCCACACTGTCACTATGGTCATCTGACAAAGCCCCGATCTAACCATCACCCACACTGTCACTATGGTCATCTGACAAAGCCCCGATCTAACCATCACCCACACTGTCACTATGGTCATCTGACACAGCCCCGATCTAACTACCACCCACACTGTCACTATGGTCATCTGACAAAGCCCCGATCTAACCACCACCCACACTGTCACTATGGTCATCTGACAAAGCCCCAATCTAACCATCACCCACACTGTCACTATGGTCATCTGACAAAGCCCCGATCTAACCACCACCCACACTGTCACTATGGTCATCTGACAAAGCCCCGATCTAACCATCACCCACACTGTCACTATGGACATCTGACAAAGCCCCGATCTAACCATCACTCACACTGTCACTATGGTCATCTGACACAGCCCCGATCTAACCATCACCCACACTGTCACTATGGTCATCTGACAAAGCCCCGATCTAACTACCACCCACACTGTCACTATGGTCATCTGAGAAAGCCCCTATCTAACCATCACCCACACTGTCACTATGGTCATCTGACAAAGCCCCGATCTAATCACCACCCACACTGTCACTATGGTCATCTGACAAAGCCCCGATCTAACCGCCACCCACACTGTCACTATGGTCATCTGACAATGCCCCGATCTAACCACCACCCACACTGTCACTATGGTCATCTGACAAAGCCCTGATCTAACCATCAACCACACTGTCACTATGGTCATCTGACAAAGCCCCGATCTAACCATCACCCACACTGTCACTATGGTCATCTGACAAAGCCCCGATCTAACCATCACCCACACTGTCACTATGGTCATCTGACAAAGCCCCAATCTAACTACCACCCACACTGTCACTATGGTCATCTGACAAAGCCCCGATCTAACCATCACCCACACTGTCACTTTGGTCATCTGACAAAGCCCCTATCTAACCACCACCCACACTGTCACTATGGTCATCTGACAAAGCCCCAATCTAACCATCACCCACACTGTCACTATGGTCATCTGACAAAGCCCCGATCTAACCACCACCCACACTGTCACTATGGTCATCTGACAAAGCCCCGATCTAACCATCACCAAAACTGTCACTATGGTCATCTGACACAGCCCCGATCTAACCATCACCCACACTGTCACTATGGTCATCTGACAAAGCGCCGATCTAACTACCACCCACACTGTCACTATGGTCATCTGAGAAAGCCCCAATCTAACCATCACCCACACTGTCACTATGGTCATCCTACAAAGCCCCGATCTAATCATCACCCACACTGTCACTATGGTCATCTGACAAAGCCCCGATCTAACCACCACCCACACTGTCACTATGGTCATCTGACAAAGCCCCGATCTAACCATCACCCACACTGTCAGTATGGTCATCTGACAAAGCCCTGATCTAACCATCACCCACACTGTCACTATGGTCATCTGACAAAGCCCCGATCTAACCATCACCCACACTGTCACTATGGTCATCTGACAAAGCCCCGATCTAACCATCACCCACACTTTCACTATGGTCATCTGACAAAGCCCCGATCTAACTACCACCCACACTGTCACTATGGTCATCTGACAAAGCTCCGATCTAATCACCACCCACACTGTCACTATGGTCATCTGACAAAGCCCCGATCTAACCACCACCCACACTGTCACTATGGTCATCTGACAATGCCCCGATCTAACCACCACCCACACTGTCACTATGGTCATCTGACAAAGCCCTGATCTAACCATCAACCACACTGTCACTATGGTCATCTGACAAAGCCCCGATCTAACCATCACCCACACTGTCACTATGGTCATCTGACAAAGCCCCGATCTAACCATCACCCACACTGTCACTATGGTCATCTGACAAAGCCCCAATCTAACTACCACCCACACTGTCACTATGGTCATCTGACAAAGCCCCAATCTAACCATCACCCACACTGTCACTTTGGTCATCTGACAAAGCCCCTATCTAACCACCACCCACACTGTCACTATGGTCATCTGACAAAGCCCCAATCTAACCATCACCCACACTGTCAGTATGGTCATCTGACAAAGCCCCGATCTAACCACCACCCACACTGTCACTATGGTCATCTGACAAAGCCCCGATCTAACCATCACCCACACTGTCACTATGGTCATCTGACACAGCCCCGATCTAACCATCACCCACACTGTCACTATGGTCATCTGACAAAGCGCCGATCTAACTACCACCCACACTGTCACTATGGTCATCTGAGAAAGCCCCAATCTAACCATCACCCACACTGTCACTATGGTCATCCTACAAAGCCCCGATCTAATCATCACCCACACTGTCACTATGGTCATCTGACAAAGCCCCGATCTAACCACCACCCACACTGTCACTATGGTCATCTGACAAAGCCCCGATCTAACCATCACCCACACTGTCAGTATGGTCATCTGACAAAGCCCTGATCTAACCATCACCCACACTGTCACTATGGTCATCTGACAAAGCCCCGATCTAACCATCACCCACACTGTCACTATGGTCATCTGACAAAGCCCCGATCTAACCATCACCCACACTTTCACTATGGTCATCTGACAAAGCCCCGATCTAACTACCACCCACACTGTCACTATGGTCATCTGACAAAGCTCCGATCTAACTACCACCCACACTGTCACTATGGTCATCTGACAAAGCCCCGATCTAACCACCACCCACACTGTCACTATGGTCATCTGAGAAAGCCCCGATCTAACCACCACCCACACTGTCACTATGGTCATCTGAGAAAGCCCCGATCTAACCACCACCCACACTGTCACTATGGTCATCTGACAAAGCCCCGATCTAACCACCACCCACACTGTCACTATGGTCATCTGACAAAGCCCCGATCTAACCATCACCCACACTGTCACTATAGTCATCTGACAAAGCCCCGATCTAACCATCACCCACACTGTCACTATGGTCATCTGACACAGCCCCGATCTAACCACCACCCACACTGTCACTATGGTCATCTGACAAAGCTCCGATCTAACTACCACCCACACTGTCACTATGGTCATCTGACAAAGCCCCGATCTAACCATCACCCACACTGTCACTATGGTCATCTGAGAAAGCCCCGATCTAACCACCACCCACACTGTCACTATGGTCATCTGAGAAAGCCCCGATCTAACCACCACCCACACTGTCACTATGGTCATCTGAGAAAGCCCCGATCTAACAATAACCCACACTGTCACTATGGTCATCTGACAAAGCCCCGATCTAACCACCACCCACACTGTCACTATGGTCATCTGACAAAGCCCCGATCTAACCATCACCCACACTGTCACTATGGTCATCTGACAAAGCCCCGATCTAACCATCACCCACACTGTCACTATGGTCATCTGACACAGCCCCGATCTAACTACCACCCACACTGTCACTATGGTCATCTGACAAAGCCCCGATCTAACCACCACCCACACTGTCACTATGGTCATCTGACAAAGCCCCGATCTAACCATCACCCACACTGTCACTATGGTCATCTGACAAAGCCCCGATCTAACCATCACCCACACTGTCACTATGGTCATCTGACACAGCCCCGATCTAACCACCACCCACACTGTCACTATGGTCATCTGACAAAGCCCCGATCTAACCACCACCCACACTGTCACTATGGTCATCTGACAAAGCCCCTATCTAACCATCACTCTAGCGCTATGAGCACTAACTGAAGTGTATGGAATTAGGAGCCTTTGAAATGTACTTATTATTTGTTGTATATATTAGAAAGAACTATAAAAAAAGCACTTTATTTTCTCTAGAAAAAAAAATATTTGCATAATATTTTACCTTTGTGTATGTTGGGATAACTTTCTAATATTTGCACATGTGCATCATAGCAATTCTCAAGGCTAATTGACTGCCTCCGTGGTCTAGTGGTAGAGCGTCCACTCGGAGAGCGTAAGGTCTGGGGTTTGATCCCGGCCGCATCATACCAAAAGATGTTAAAAGATGGTATTTGTTGTTCCCTGTCTGGCGCTCGACATTAGGGGGCTAAAACAAGGACTGGTCAGCTCGGGGTCAGTATACTGTGTCTGAGTGGGATATTCATTTTAAACTGTGGCATGGTATCTCAGTGGGCTAGCACTATAAAATCGGCATCAGTCTGGACAAGTAAGAGCTGCCAAAAACACACACGTGCATACATCTTACAGTTGCGGATTAACTGTCCCTTGTCAATGAATGCTGTATATCCCTTGCCAAGGCTAAGACTTTATCATTCCTTCACTTTGGACAGGTAATTAATTATTCTCGCCATTGTTTTGTCCATTATCACCACTGAGTTTGTTTTTTTGCATTTGTTAAATATGTGCATATACGTAACTTTAGCAATGTAACCATTTCCTACCCAGTTGTTAATCATTTACTTGATAAACATACTCATATCTTTTTCTGAAATGTTCAAAAATGTTCCACAATTTGAATATTACTGATTCAAATTTGAGAAAAAAGATGAATACTTCACTTTTATTTAGTGCTCAAATCCAACACAGATCATGCTACAGCTCCTTATAAAAGTGGCAGTTTCATGATTCCTAAGGTCACCCAACTTCAAAGAAGTATTATCCAGGACTTTACATGTTTTGCACATGTTGCTTTACATGTCTTCAAACCATTACTCAAGACCAACCTGTCTTTTCTTCTGCAGATGATGAACCTCCCTTTGCGAATTTTCTCCTGCTACGACTACTTGATGTTGCTTTGCTATGGGCACCTGAATGGGCACCTGCACCAATGGAACCAATTTGTCTGTGGTACTGAAATGCCTGGAAAAAAGACTTCAATTGCTGAGTAGAAACAAAGATATACATACAAAACTGGATATTCTGATCCATTCGGTGATCACATGACAAAGAAAATACGAAAGACAAAATGGCTACTGTTAAACTCATCATCATGCGATCTACATGTGTATATCTACTCACTGTTCTTTATATCATGGTGTTGATATCTTGATTTATCATATAATGGGTAGGTTTCTCGGCAGGATAAAGCCAACGGATAAAAACAATATCCGTTGGGGTCATTTGCGGATAGAGATGCATATATCAAAGGTCAAGTAGGGACTACTTTCCCTGTTTATAAACAAACATGGTGTCGCCCTCGTCATTCGGCGATCGAGTCAGATTTAACCATCGGGAATCTGGATAAACTACACAGATAATTGCTTTCATTATCAAAAGAACAGTCTAATATACTGAAAATCAGTGTCTTACTGTGACATAGCTAAGGCATTTTATACGTTTTGGCAACTTTGGAGATATAAATTTCGACACAATTTGTGAGGGCACGAGGCCTAGCCAAGCGGGATCAGTAGCCATATCTGTGCTTGTAGACCTCTGCGGCTTGAACCTTTCTCCACAAATTAAAATAGTTGGATTTGGTCGAAATATGTTTAAATTGTTACCCTGTTTCGTTTTGTCGCTTTGTGTACATCTGACTACACTTCTTAACGTTATGACAGGACAGACTGACTGTCAACAACGTCTGACCGTGGCCGTGACGTCTCATAGACTAGGGTTAGAGAAGCTTCCCTTTGACAAAGAGCAGTTACTCTAGCAGACAGACTGATGGATTGCCGCGAAAGGCAATTAAAACAATTGTTGTTTTGCGTATATGTTTCTTCGACACTGTATTAGAAAAAGATTTCAGTTGTAACTATATTGGCTACTGTCACTGTCCGATTGACACATCACTTACCATGTGACGTAATAAATATTAATGCGCGCATTCCAGGAGACCTCGGAGAGGGAAAGTGATTTTGAAGAACAGAATTAAAGAATGACATTATGTGATAAAGAGGTTATCACGCTTGTGTGTTTGGGAATGGTAAATATCCTGTATTAGGAATAAACACAATGTTTTTAGCTCGCCAAGGCTTGCTAAATACAATGTTTATTCCTAATGCAGGATATTTACCATTCCCAAACACACTTGCGTGATAACCTCTATATATACAAAGTCTGTATCCTCCAATTAGCAGCAAATCACTGAGTAAGACTGGGAGTCAAACAGCTTGCAGATAGTTCTTTATGTCTCCATCCAGAAACTGCACTTTGTCATAATATTGTATATTAAGCTCATTTGTTCAAAGCAAATTATGACAATATCTAAGGTTTGGTTTGTTGTTCAACACCTCACTCAGCGATATTCCAGCTATATGACGGCGGTCTGTAAATAATCAATTCTGGACCAGACAATCCAGTGATTGACATCATGAGCATCGATCCTGACCACCCAATCCCGTTAGTCGCCTCTTACAACAAGCACAGTCACCTTTGTAGCAAGCATGGGTTGCTGAAGACCTATTCTACCCCAGATCTTCACGGGTCCTATATCTGAGGGCATTAATTATTTCTACAATATTCTAGTTCTTTGGCTTTTGTATACTGTATCTGATTTATCATATTATGAACGATTTCTAGAATGCATAATTGTACCATGACACTGAAGAATTCTTGATTCTGATTTGTCAAATTAAGATCAAAATCAGCCACCTAATTCCCTTTGATACTTCAGAACTAACATGCCCTTTCACACAAAACCCTTATATTTGAAAACATTTATCTATAGATAGCCTACAAAACAACGCATATAACAATAGCTGCCAAAACAACATTATAATTGTATACATTTGACATGAAACATGATGAAATATATTTCAGAACACATGACATAATTATAACATACATTTAGGACTGTACTGTGTCAGGGCCACAAAATGAGCAGTCTTTCATACCACAGCTAGACAGCTAACAACAGTGGCTTTCATTTCCACCAGTAAATCATCGCATTAATGTGAACAAAGTTACAGATCGGGGTTGACCTCTGGGTTCACTGAATTTGTAAATATTGAAATTTTACAATGAATTGTATATTCATAAACTTATCCCATCTTAAACTATGCATTTATCCAACTGTTGGATTGTGGGCGCAGATACCCAAGCCGGCAATAGGACCTCAACCGGGAGAGTAAAGCAGATCCATAAGGGCCAGCACATTTAAAATAACTGTAGGCCCTGTGGAAAAACTGTAGGCCCAAACATTTTAGCTGAAGCAGGGAGACAACCTCTTGCAATATAAATTACAGAACCAGTCAGCCAGAAGCTTTTACTGCTATCACACTGAGGTCCCAGAGACTCTGGACCAGAACCAGCCCTGCATGATGGCCAATAAAGTACAGTCGCTGTGTGACGCCATGGTAGATGCAACTGCTCTTGTCTCATGTGGGTTAGAAGCTACTGGAGGTGGTAATCCCAGAAAGTTGTAGGCTGTTAAGATGACAGAACGCAGCCAAAAGGAGATCACGGTCCAAGATACTAGTTTGCAGGCGTTGATAATGGGATAAAAGCAGGCTTGAGTGAGCATTGCCAGGCCTCAGATGACTCAGATGCAAGGCTTCAAGTAGACTCTCAAGTAGATGTTTTTTAGCAATAAAATACCAACGTAATCCCCAAAAGACTTTGCCATGGTGTTGTCTTTCAAACCTGTACTCAATTTATGTCTAACTCAGTGATCTCACTGATGCGAGCTGCTGTAGCCAGTGCAAGGAGGAAGATCATTTTGAACTTCAAGTTTTTGAAGTCCTTTTCCTCCAAAGCTTAATAATCCACAGAAGATAGATGATGGATGATGATGTAGAGATCGATTGAAGATGGTCTAAACCGAGATGACTGATCCATAAGCCAGAAGTGATGAATCAAAACTGTAACTCAGCAACAACTGGTTGTGCGCAGATGTTGAAGGTACTGAGCTATTTGTTTAGGAGAAGCGGTCGGAGAAATGGTCAGAGAAGAGCTATCTCAAGTAGAGCAATAGCCTTCAAATGCCTTCCATTCATGATCATACTGAGCTTTAATAGAAGTGTGATGCGCATCAGTGAGAGAAGGCACCACCTACGAGAATAACCTTTTGAAGATCTCTCCCTATGTCCAGTCAGAAACATGAGAGTCTATCAGAGATTCCTGGAAATGTGCCAAACACCCTGCTCTCTGCTTGTCCTGAATCCACAATGTTGTAACTTCCAGGAGATGACAATAACATCTATTGATCACCATGATTAGCTAGCTGTGTCACCCCGACTGGAATGAGCTCTGGCGGTATAGGCGCTATGCAAAAGACTTGTCCGCAGGAAACTGCGCTGATCAAGAGCCGTGGACATTGCTTGAACAAGTATCTGGACGTTTGAGTAGTGTACTGAAGAAGCGTCTGTATGAAGATCCAAAGATGAAGGGAATGTAGAAAGATTCTCGTAATCAGTTTGATCATGGGATTTTTTTATTTTATTTTACTTTATAATTGATATATTAACTGTTATTTTGGTACCTATTATTCTAAGTAATGTCATTATCACACCAAGCCCTATACCTCTCGCTGTAAGGGTTTATTGTAAAAAGAAAGAGAAGAAAGTTGAGAAGAAGAAAAAAAGTACACCAGAGATTTAGTGCGACGATCCTTAGAAGGGGATTGATCTGAAGTTGAGGAGTGTTGAGGTGGTCTGGGCATAACTACAGGAGAACAACGATCCCTTGATGCAGAGCGATTCCTAGATCGACGATGAAGGCAATCCCAAAGGAGATTAACAAAGAGGCTGAACGACCAAAACGAACCGACAATCTTGAACGAATGTGTATCTTGGCTGTTTCAAAGTGCGCAGTCGACCATACGTCCCTTGTTGATAACTATCCCTGCAAGAGGGTTAAGGGCAAAGATTCTGTCTAACATCCGGATGGTCATGGGTCGAATCACAATGATCCAAGGAGACATATCAATCTGATGATCCATAAGAACCTTGATGATCCCTTGACAAATGACAGTGCTGCTGATCCCTTGATGTACGACAATATCTAAAGCGACAGCGATCTCTCATTCCCATGGCAGTCTAATGATGGGTATCGATCCCTCGAGGTTACACATGTGATCAACTGCTCTCTGTCGATCTGTGGACGCTTGTTCATTCCTAGATCTAGAATGATCCGTTGAATCATGTTGATCTAGCGATTCATAACAGCATATTTCTGTCAAGGTCTGTCGATCTCTTGAGGAATGTCGTTCTGTCAAAGACAGTCGATCCTCCGAGTGATGTCAACCCCTTTGATGTATGTCGATCTATCGCTTTGTCGTTATGTAGATTCATACGTAGAACATTCATCGTAGAGATAAGAAGGGACTCGTCAGTTGATAGTACAGTACGGCGGTTGGGTGAATGCGGGACAACTGTAGGAGAAGATGGGATATCCTCACGCACACAGGGTGTGGTCGTCTTAGCTGATCAGCTGTGAGGAATGAGTCAGAAAGTACGTCCTCCTCTATCGGTAGCGCAGTGATTGTCGTTGAATTGGTCTCACAAGGAGACGAGGGAGGTACGGAAACATTAGAAAGCACTGTTCGCTTGGATTTCTTGGCTGACGATGGCCTGTGCTCAGAATCCTTTAACGATGCCTTGGAATGCCGATCTGCTGAACACTTATGACATTTGATATTTATGACAGGTAGGTTTAAAAATCTGTTTTGGAAAGTTGGGGACATTGCTGACATCGACTATTGATAGTAGCTGTGCTCCAACAGTCACAATACACTGAGCGTGGGTCAAGTGGAGAAAACAGGTGTTTGCAGTCTTTGCAAAGAGGACGTAATGGTTCAATGACATTGTTTTAGTTTCAGCGGTTGGTAACGAGATAGACAGACAATCCTGAGCCTCCAAGAAAAGAAGAAAAATGTATTCTCTGTTCAAGTACATCTTAATCTTAGGCATTTAGAAAGACAATGAGGGTGCAGAAAATGTCAGGTGATCAGGTCGCACGGGGTAGCATCACACGGGTTGGCAGTTGTGCTTGACCCATGGTTGAATGTGGTGGCTATGGTGGGATGTGTTGGGGCGAGTTGTTTTTTTAATGCTGGAAACTTTGTTCTGGGACGTTTTAAACAACTGAACAACTGTTGTGGCAGCTATGAAGAGTGAAGAGTTACGGATGGATGTAGGTCAAGTTCAGCCACGTCGAAGTTCGGAGTTCAATCTGGATATGTATTACTGTTACTGAGGGGATATTTCAAACCAACTGGTTAATAAGCATAACTTACCGTGATTTGGGTTATTTGAGAAATAACTTACTTGAGCATTTTTTGCTACAATTTCTATAACCTGTGACCCTAACAATGGAAGATGTCATGTTGAACTTTTAGAAATGACTTGGTAGAGTCCAAGCAGTGCAAATATGCAAAAAGGTTGCAATGAAAACAAAATATATATCTATGGAAGGTTTTTCCATTAATTTCTTAAAAAAACTATGTTTTTTGTAACCATTATTTTCAACTAGTTAACACATTTGAAACCCCAAGCTAAAGAACCCGGTTTCGAATTGATATAAAAGGTATCTGAATTACATAAAGACTACCTCAAATCTCAAAACGTAGTAGGTTTATATCCTGAATATTTACCTCTGGTAATTTTTGAAAGAATTCACCACATTGTAGACTAAAGATGTCAACTTCTTACTTAAGTTCATGGAGATTATTCAATATTTCCTGAAATGCTGCATTAAAAATCCATCATCTGTATGAAGATAATGTTCAAGCATTTACCACAATTTGAACATAAGTGATGTAATTTTGAAAAAAACCACAAAACTAAATATTTCACTTTCAGTCATGTTATCATGGTTACTAATTTTTTAAATATTTTATATTTATAGATATATGTACCTTAGTAGTCGCATTATCCTTGTGGTACACAACTATCTTCACCTCCTGGAGTGATGTTCCAGGGTTGTCCTGTCCGAACTCTTCCACCGTCTCCATCATGGTTTTGGCCACCACATCTCGTGGGTATCCCAGGTTACCAGTACCCAGTGCAGGGAAAGCAATGGACTGGTACCGTTTTTTGTGAGCTTCCTGAAGACAATCTCGAATCAAATCTTGCAGAACCTTCCAGCAAAAAATGATAAGAAAGAATTAGTTATGAGACTCATAGTATTTTCAGAAAGTGCGAAAATACCAGGTTAACATTTGCAATAGTAGTTGAAATGTTTGTTTGTTTAACACATCCAGCTATATGACAATGGCCTGTATATAATCAAGTCTGGACCTGACAGTCCAGTAATCAATATTGTAAGCAATGATCCATGATATCGGGGTACGAGGACACCTTTCAACCAAATTACCGAGTCCCACCACCCATTCGGTCACCTTTTATGACCAGCATAGGTTGCTGGACACTGATTTTAACCTGGAACCCCTACAAGGCAAGTGGTGTGCCAATATATCGTAAATCGTGAAAGCCCTTTGATTTGTAACAGAATCTATCAGAATCAGAGTATAGCAAGCTCAAAGTGTATTGCACTCTGTCTATCATCTTTGCAGGGTGTTCACTGTGGCACCTAATTGATAACATCATATAGATGTCCCACACAAGAGACGTCTCAACACTGAGGTTGTGGTCCAATTGGTGTTTGTCATGTGGAGTATGGTTAGTTATATCCTGATAATGAACAACATACAATATCAATGCAAGAGAATAACCAGGCTTTATTACCTGATGAAAACAAAAGATTCCACTGGGCATACAAGAGAAAATAGCGGAGAAAAATATATCTATGAATGGATCAGTGCTTGAGTGAGTGTGTTGGGTTTAATGCCGCTTTTGACAGTATTCCAGACATATCGCAGCGTGACAGCTTAATGAGGGAGGAAAGCCAGGAGTGATGCATGTCTCAGACGTTTACCACTTCGGTGAAACCCACGAGCTTGGGTATAATGCTGACAAACCTAAATAAAATAATCGGGGCGAACCTGGATTCAAACCCGCAATCATAGGTTTCTGGTGTACCCAAGGGACGCAATTCCGCACAGCGAATCACAGCGCCTTAGACGACTGGGCCACCGTGCCCCCCAATGGATCAGTGAAAATCAGTGATGTTCGCAAAAGGGTAAGCATGTCCTGCCATACTGGTAGCACCCGCCATACACTCATTACACCAGAATCCCAGCAGGACTAATCCTGCAGACACTGGTACCAGGCCAACTCCTTTACTGGTAAAATAAACTCATTATTTAACATATTTTAATCATCGTCACTAATTTCTTGCTTGTTATCAAAACCTCTCCCCATTCACATGTGTTTCATAAGTGTCTCTCCATCCACTAAATTTGGTCGAACCATCCTGAAGCCACAACCTAACGGCAGCAGAAAGGACAATGTGCTGTGTGCTCTTCTGGTTTACATTCAGAGGCTATTTGTCCTTTCTGTCAAATCATAGAAAAACTCATGTTGCAGTGTCACCTTTTGTATTTGCATCTTATGCACTCTGTTATCCCATACTCTTACAAATATACAAATACAAATTCAAATGCATATTGACTCCAAGTCAGGTCCGTATTTACAACTTGAGTTACTAAAACCAGATTGGGTGTAAGAAGTAATAATCCCCAAACCTAAGCCAATCAGATGTCTCCATTTGTTGGAACCTCATAACGTTATTGTAGCGGACATAGTTGGCTGTGTTGAATCTACTTTTCTCTTTATTATATAATAAGACAATACTTTATAGAAATTAAGTAAAGACACCCCATGGACCCCCACAATAATCAATATCAACTTCATCCTCTGTCCATACATTAAAAATCAATGCGGATCAAGGATGAAGTCTGAGGTCAATATTGCTTTTTACTGGTCCATTAAACAAGTATTGATAAAGTCTATAATTATATATAATCTTTTTTATATAAATGCCCACATTGACATCAATGAACTACCTGTTGCCCATTGGCGTCTTGAGTCCAGCTTGGAAGACAGGTGTGGTAAATCTGGCGACAGCTCAGCATTCCTCCACTGGAAATGGCAAAACATCCTGGATGAACACCGCTTGGGTACTTCTGAGAACACTCGTTTTGTATAACCATTCCAGCTCTTTGCAGGATGGATTTGGACACCGCTCCATTGTTCAGATCTAAGCCATTTGAGGTCGAGTTGACGATAACATCCACCTGATGGAAGAAAACAGACCTTACAAATGAATACTGACTGGTCATATAAGCAATGAACAATGCACAGTTGTGCAGTATGGATCAATTCGCTATAGGATCTGTCTCAAACATTGAGTCAGTTGCTAGACTTTAAAAAATGATTGAATTTTTTTACCACCATTCTAAGTTAGAGCAGTGAAAGAGATTGTATTTCACTGTTAAATGACAATTCTGATCAGCATTCGGGGCATAAGAATAATAGTAACTTAACATCCCCATGTTTTGGAATCTTGTCAGGCAACTAAATAACTGTGTGAAAATCATAATCATGTTATAAATAATTGAGCTGGAGCTGTAACAGCTACTGAGCCAAAGTGTCGTGTTCCAACCATGTGGAGAAGGCGTGTGCAACATTTCAATCAGAGTGAATTCACATTAGAAGAGCCAAGAAAACATAAAAAGCTGTTTTCAATTTTTTTGGAGTACCTATCGCTTCACATACAATTTCGCCGAAAATAATTAAAACAATATTAAAAGGAATTTTGAATAAAATTAATGAAATAAGTTACAAACATAGATTTCTAAGTCCAGATATACAAAGAACACTTTTTATAGCCAGATAGTGTAATTACATGATTAATTTGCATACTTAGTATGGATTTGTTGACATGGTATTTCCGGTGTTACGTCCTCACGGTAATATCTTTCCATTGGGGGAAAAAACATCAAAACTCATTATTGCGTGTATAATGTGCACCCCCTTCTACACAGCTGTGTTTTGTTTTTAAAAAGTGCACACTATACACAAGAAAATATGTTAACGAGACTCTCACCCACCTACCCATTCTTCTAAAGTAATTACATCCGGCAGATGACTGTGAACCTTAATGATGATCCCTGATATAAATAACTCTGCATCTATAACTACTTTGGGCTTATTACACTGGAAATCATTGATCAGAATAAATCATTTACCTGTTCTGTAGCTATTTCTCCAGAAACAATGTTTATCTGAATACTTGAGGAACTGAATGCATCCTCCCTCTCTCGACTGAATGCGTCGTCACTCTCTGGAGAAGCATACTGTTGTTTAGAATGCCCTTACAAAAAAGTGCCTCATGTTAATAAAGATTACATATCACCAAATGAGATTGTTATATTTCTTCAATAAACAGTGCAAAGATCTGATAATAGTGATGTCACTTATGCAAAAGAGACCCTCCGAAACACAATTAAGGTCACAAAGGCATAATATTGTTTAGACAATGTCACTGCCAATAAAATTATATATTCTTTGATATCCTACTCAGTTGTGATTATTTCCTTGATAAAGGTACTGGCATTTTGTACCAAAATGTCGCATTGAAAGAAAAGAATTTAAAAATCAAACGTTTACTCTGTCTTCAAGATTGAGCTCACGGTCATATTTTTTTATTAATACACAATGTATGCTTAAATGCTGGACAAAGGTGCTCTTTTGATGGCAACTTTCATTTTCTTTAGCTTCTGACAAGAATATATCCTAAAGAAAACTGTAAGTTAAGTTAGAAAACAGTCTAATAAGGTTCAAAGGTAAGATTCCATGTCCATTTCATATAAATCGCACCAAGGCACTGTTCACATTGATTGCCCTGTAAGTGAGCAGAGTGTTACATAGACTACCAACAATAAATAAGGGAACTAGTGATCTGAATGTAGCTATTGTTGAGGTGTACATTTACAATACTGTCACGTCGCATTTGAACGCAACATCTAAATCACAATGAAATTTCAAATCATGCATGAACAGAACGTGCACACACAAGCCAAAATGTGTGCTCCCATCGGGGAACTCACAATCACTAAAACAATTGTGTTGAGCACATGCTCAAAAATGCCTCAGAGACTGTATCTCAATGAACAGACAAAATGCCAAATTGCGGTTTCGATAGAGGGGCGAATGTTGCCTGAATGCTTGGCAAATCAAGATGTGTAATTTCCCGACTGGGGAACAAGAACCATCATTCAGGGCGCGAATGCAATGAGACCAGAATTACTGTTTTGTTTGTTTGTTGCTCAGCACTAGACTCAGCAAACGTTCCAGCCATCATTGGATCGAGAAAGGTCTACTGATTGATCGTTGATTGTTATTGATCAATGGATCATCAATAGCTCATTAAACACAATGAAGATACATTTTACTCACTTGGTCTCCTTGATCTCCTTTGGGATCTGTGTTGTCGATCGTCTTCATCTGCAGCTACCACACCTTGGTTCACAGAAACCACTTTAGCGGCACCACAAACTTTCTTCACAGCCTGGATAAATGCTTGAACAGTGTTGACATTGTTGTCACACACGTAGACATCCATCACCTTGCTACCTGGATTGTCTGTGAAAAATATCTGTACTGCATCAATGATAGACTCAGTTGCTGCTGTCACTGGGTATCTATAGATACCAGTGCTTAGAGCTGGGATGGCAATAGAAGGAAGTTTACAGCTATCAGCCATCTCAAGACTATTAAATATAGCTTCTTGAAGGAGTCCTTCCTCGTCATTCTTCCCACCTGACCATATAGGTCCTACAGCATGGATGACCTTCTTGCAGGGAAGATTTCCAGAACTGGTCACAGCTACTTTTCCGACATTCACATCACCATTTTTCCGTCTGATAGCATCACTTTCATCTTGAATAATTCTGCCACCTTCAAGAAGATCAACAACAATCTTTTAACATACCTATTCATATGCCCCCAAAAGGAGTTCTTGAAAACAGAATGAATGTTAAAGGGATATTTTAGAACAACTCATATTTTGGCAAATATCCTCAAAATTCTTTGATAACTGAACTGCTGTGTTATAATTGTTATCAAAAATGAATTTGTCAATGATTAATTTATAAATACTTGGTTCACAGTTAGGAAAGACTGAATTTTCCATGACGTCCTCACTCAGTCATATTTCGTCTCTTGTCATGGATTAAACACCGACTGTAATCAGATAATATCTGGATGTTTCGGTTAACCAAACTATACAAACCTTTATCAACAATGGCTCTGGCCAATCCACCGCCATGAGAAAGATGTTGATTTGCTGCATTAACGATAGCCCCCACCTTCATCTGTGTGATGTCACCTTGGCACATGTACAGAGTACGGCTGGACCCAAGGTCACATGTAGCTTGGGTCTTAGGCCCTCCTGTAACTGTTCTTAGACCCCTTTGCTTCCGTGTATTACCATAAACCGTCCGCTCATTTGGATCATAAGTTCGCTCTATCACACACCGTTCTGTTTGCTCAATCCTTTTGATATCAGCCTCTCCTTTGTCAGATAGGATCAGTTTAGCAATCCCTGGTTTGTTGAAAAGGTGGCTGCCATATATCACATTCTGGGAAAGTCTTTCCAATTCCCCCATTACAATTCTTAATCCATCTTTGGTTCCTTTCACTGTAAAATCACCAGATGTCCTCTGGTAGATAATCTTAACAGAATATATTTTGAATTTTTCAGAAAGCTCTCTGATTTCAGTATCTTTATGCGTAGTCATGAACCGCTGGATTCCCCTTGGGAACTGGACAGTGTCGCTATACACTGTGTATTCTGTGATGAAGTTGTTCACCTCTTCTGCCACCCCAGCTACCAGTTCATCTATAGCAGCTATGACAATATGAGACTGATCCACTGCTGTGATGATCTTCACAGTGTCCCCTCTGCCCTGTGTCTGATCATCACAGATCCTCTTCCAGTCTGGAGAGGCCAAGAGTGGGACAGATTCCGGGTCCAGGTTGATGACTTGCTGGACCACACATTGTTTCAGAACTCTTACAACATCTGCAGCTTCAGTGTCTGTCCTCCCATACACATACAGTTTACCTTTGTCTGCCTCCCAGACACCAACCAGATGTTTCAGCTTCAGCTTCTTCACAATGTAATCCCTGACATCTTTCTTCTGAAGAAGCATCATCTGAGCAACAAGCACATTGGGCAAAGATGTCTGCTTGAAGTCAGTCATTGTTTCATACATGTCAACCTTTGCAGATTTCACAAAAGAAACTAATCCTATGAAAATAATCTTTTTCTTGGTCACATTAATTTCAACCTTTAGGTGTTCATATTTCTTCATCATATCACCTGGGAACCCAAGAGCAAGCAGTAGGTGTAACTGCCATGACTTCAGACTTGACATTGTTTCAGTGATTTCCTTCTTCTTCCGCTCATGGTCTCCCTCCACCGAGGCTACCACGTCCTTCACCTGTTTTGACAGTTTTTCTGCTAGCATTTTATGGCCAACCACAACTATCAGATGAGACTCATCAAAGACAAACAAAGTTGCTGCATCTGGCTTGGAAATTTTCATCTTCTCGACCTCTTTCATCACATGATCCCAAACCTCCTGAAGGACATTTACCTTCTCAGTGATCAGCAAAGAAAGAAAATGTTCCAAATCCTCAGTTGCATTTTTCTTCCAAGACTTAGCCTTGTTTCTTGCATCAGGCATATCTTTGGTAAGACAGCATTCAAGGATCACAGAATCATCTGACTCAAGCTTCAGATCAGCACATCCATCTTTCAGCTGCTTTTGTAGATTTTTCATATTTAGACTAGAACCTCTGATGAATGTCAGTTTGTAAGAGTCAACATTCTGTAAAGTAATTGGTGGTGGCAATGTGAACCATGTGGGATTGCTGTGTCCACCTCCAGATCCCAGACATTCAGTGTACAGGGATACTGTAAGGGCCATGTCATCTAACTTGTGGGTTCTGTCCAAAATCTCAGGTATCACTGAAACACAAACGATTGCACTTAATCAAGAGTTCATCTATTCTGAAAACAACACAGGAAAACCATACGTTTTTGCCAAAAACGGAAAATACTGTCATCAGTGATGGAAACAAATATTGATTCTGTCTCTCTCAGATGACAAGATAATAATAGTATTGGCTGAATATTTTCTCTTTTCTTAATGTGGTACAGAATTGATATAATAATTCACAGTATAATACTATTTTACTGAAAACAAACTTATTCTTATCAAATCAGAGAACAGATATATTCAACTTTTCACATTCAGTAAAAAAACATTAACAAGTATATTCTTAATATGATCTATTTCATCAACATTTAATTGAATTTTATTCTACTTTATCACACTCAAGCATGTACTGTCTTTTATTTCTTTGAGTTCACTGGAGAATCAACCTTCAAACTGTAGAACATTAGACCATTAATCTTTTTGTTTCACTCTCTGGAAATCTTGTCCGGATGTCTACACAATTTCGTTCTGTACATGTGACCTGATAATACTTTAATAATGACATGCATACTAGTTCTTGTCAGTTATATGAGGAAACAATAATGTCCAGAAATTGTCTTTGTTTGATTTCATTGAAGCCATTCATTGACAGCAAAACAAATTTTCAATGAATGTTCATCTAATGTTTGGCTGTCTCCCTCTGATTGATGCTATTAAAGTGCCATACAAAACCCAAATGACCAAATAATCAAACACAAACACAGAGTTATCATATTTGGAATGACATACACTACTCAAAACAAGTTAATGGTCAAACATATAATCCTGCACGATCGTGAATTTGACATAGAAAACATAGGAATTAGAAATTTCTAATCACAAATCGGGTTAAAATGAGTTTAATGTGTCCTAAAGCTTAGCACTGAGTGCAAATCATACGCACTATGCAACCACAACGACTGAGATTCTTTTGACAAATCACCAATTCAAGCTGAAAAACAAGGCTCAATGAAACTGTGTGCGTTGCCCGGACACAGTGCTGCCCGGTCATCATGCTTTTGTTTGTCAATGCACCTGCAAACTGTGTTATCTGTGAACATTTGGGGCATACAAATCACTACCATGATCGTGTTGTTCTCACTTGAAATTTCATCATGGTCAGACGTCAACTAAGCAATGCTGATAGAGGAAGAGCCATTGTGTAGCTGCAGGATGGTTATTCACAGAGGAATGTGGCCTAAAGAATTGAATTAGTTGCAGCCAAAATGTTTGGTATACTATGACAGCAATTCCAAGCCACCAATTTCATTCAGAGAATTGTCCTCACTCTTGTAGGCAAAGATCAATATCACAGTGCGATGACCAGTATATCCTACACATGGCATTACCTCAAAGTCACTGCTAGACACCTGAGAGATAAAATGTGACATGCAACTTGTATTCGGGTATTGGACCAGACCATACGGAATCGTTTGCGAGCCAACAATGTTCGATCTCGGCAGCAAGCAGTTGGACCACCTCTTCTTCAACGTCATGGGTCAGCATGAGTCTGGTGCACACGTCACAGAGCCTGGGCACGTTATCACTGGGGGGTTGTACTCGCCAGACTCAATAATTTTCTCAATCCAAAAGGCATTCAATGAATGGATTGCCTGCATTCTTGCCTGATTTGGCACCAATTGAGCATGCATGGGACGAGTTGGGGAGACGAGTGACAGACAATCATAGGCAACCTGATACCCTTCCAGAATTGGCCCACTTCCTTCAGTTAGAGTGGCAGGCTATTCCACAACCTTTCTTTCAACATCTGATCGACAGCATGCCTCAACGGAGCATCAACTGTTCACAAGCACGAGGTGCTGTCACTCGGTATTGACATTGACATTGATTTGCATGCTTCTGGTACTCACAACTTACCAAACTGTACGAGGGCCATTCAATATATAACCAGCCTAACCTATTTGCTACTGCTCCTCACTTCTTCTTTTTCCACATAATCACCACTGAGGTCTATGCACTTTGTCCAGCGATGTGTGAGAGCTAAAAGCCCTTTGTGATAGAAACCATGGGGTTGTTCATGTAACCATCCCTCCACTGCTGTTGTGAGTTCATCATCGGACCGGAAATGACGTCCACTCAGTTCTTTCTTCAAGTTTGGGAAGAGAAAGTAGTCGCTTGGTGCCAGGTCTGGTGAGAAAGGTGGATGAGGCAATACTTTGAACCCATTCCGCTTCACTGCGGCAACCGCAAGTCGACAGGTGTGCACTCTGGCATTATCATGTTGGAGCAGCACACCTTTTGTTATCTTTCCACGATGTTTGGCAAGAAAAGCAGTCAGCAAACGGTCCAGGAGATCGGAGTAGTACTCTCCAGTAATAGTCTGGCCACGTGGCAAGTAGTCAATGAGCAAGACCCCTTTGTTATCCCAAAAGATGGTTGCCATGACTTTGCCAGCCGATGGTTGAGTCTTTAACTTTTTGGGACGGGATGAAGCAAAGCCAGTCCACTGCTTACTCTGTTCTTTGGTTTCTGGGTCATAGTGGTGTACCCAGGTTTCATCACCAGTAACAATTCTCTCCATAAAGTTGTCTGCATCCCGACTGCATTGCGTCAAAAGTGCCTGACACATTGACACACGTACAGCCTTCTGATCATCTCTGAGACATTTTGGGACCCATTGGGCAGACAGCTTCCTCATACCCAGACAATCATGCAAAATGGTATGGACACTTCCCTCTGAAATCTCCAAGGCCTTGGCCATTTCTGACACCTTCATTCGCTTGTCTTTGACAACCAGTTGTCTCACAGCTTCACTGGTTTGGTCATTGGTCACCTCTACAGGCCTGCCAGGGCGTGGCTCATCTTCCAGGTTCACCCGACCCCTCTTAAATTCTGCAACCCAGAATTTGACCTGTGCATACGAAGGTGCACTGTCACCATAAACATTTGACAATTCATCATGTATCTCCTTTCCCGGTTTCCCTTTTAAGTAGAGGTACCTAATAACAGCCCTGTATTCAACCTGTGACGAAAATTTGGCAGAATCTACCCTTGCCATCTTTACAGATCACGTGTGTGACTTCAAATACAATTTCCTCATTGAAACGTTGTCTATGCACGTGACATACATTGGTGCACAGCACATGACAAGCATGCAACCGTTAAGATCTGATAAATAGCTTAGGCTGGTTATATATTGAATGAACCTCGTATTACAATGAATTTAAAATATTTCGCTTTCTGTATTATAACAAAATATCATCAATAAATTTTGTGACCCTTAACATGTTTTGAGTAGTATATATCAGAAATGTCAATAATTGCTTGGTGCGTATGCATTTAATAGCAAAAACAAAGTTGCACAAAGAAATGTGAATATTTTGTGACTTACTCTCTAGAAAGTAATGTGACAGACAGAATCAGTTTCTATATCACATGACAAACTTTGTCAGAACGGGGCATAGTCATTTGGGTGAGAAATAATTCAGTCACTACATGTACCTGAATGGTCTTCAAAATGGACTATGGCATGTCTTGGATCTTCTATGTTCACATTTTCCACAGAGAGTTCTTTTGCATTGCCTGCCCTTTTACTTTCGAAGTAGTATTGTAATGTTTCTGTGGATGTGCTGGCCGTGATGCCAGTGACTCGGATACAGTTGGAGACCGGCACTGCAGACAGCTCCAGGAACGCCCCTTCCAGGGGATGCTTCCGGCACACACGCTGCATCTTCTTCAGTTCTGGAAGATGACAGGCAGATCATATTATTGTGTTAAGGTGAAACAATGTCTTATTTTCTGGCTTACTGATCAAGTGATCACAGCCAAAGGTGACAGAACAAACAATAGTCCATCGTTACTTTAGCTTACCTACTATGTGATCACCATACAGAAGACAACGATGCTCCACGGTCTGGAGTCAATGTTCCAAGTATCAATCTTGGCCAAGGCATTGTACTTAGAACCTTCGTAAATCTTAGCTATAATCAATACTTATATGCCAGGCATGAGTTTTCTGTGTGAAAAGAGAAAATCCTTTGCATAGTCAGAAAAATCATTGGCTGGAATTCAACAGTTTTTCTTTTGACAGATAAGAGCGAAGTCATCTTAGATTGCTTGTTAACATTCTGCCCATGTCTATATCTCTTTCAATATTGTAAGTGTAGCCGTGCGTGGTGTGATGTGTCCAGCCACTGGGCTGCTAGTCAAAACATGAGGCAGTTCTTGAAGATGATGATGATTTTTATTCTTGTGTAGTAGATGGTGGGAGGGAAGCTGTAAACAAGAGTCCTCCCTCCATAAAGAGTTCATGCAGAATGCATGAGGAGGGCAGGTGAGAAAGGAAGTTAAAGAAGTGGACCAAAGGGCCAATCAGAAGAAAGGTAGCATCTGACAGATATTAAAGGAAGTCAAGATGCTTCAGTCACATAAAGTGGTGGACATATCTAAAAATAGATAGGGGGAAGTCCAGGTGAAGCTGGAGAAATTACAGAGGCTGCAAAAGGGTATCAGGTTGGTGTTAGTTGGCTGACATTCAACTGCAGACAAGGACAACATATAATGAACATATAATGAACATATAATGAACACAGAATGAAGTGATGGTGATAATAGATGAACATGTATGTATATATGTATAGAATGAATCTAAGGGGGGTTATAAGTGGGTGGTACTTATGTGGCTATAACTCATTCAGAGTTAGCACCACCACCCGGCTACATAAGCATTAACATGAAAATATAATACTGAATATTTTGATCATTGGATTCCTTGTGACCTTGACCTTAATCGGAGGGCATCCACAATCTTATAAAAAAAAGAGCCACAATGGAGGTCAAGAAAGGCAAAGCAGGATTACTCTTAAACATCTTATGAAAGTTTCAATACAATGGTTACTGAGAAGTCTGGACTCTGTTGAATATGTAAAAGTACTGTCATGGAACTGTAGCTCACCTGGATATTTAGTCAAGATGCTAAATGTCAACCAAATTCATTTGGTAAAATGAAATGAAGGCGTTGCTAGTCCACAAATATTGTTAATTGTTTTTCTCAATGATTGAACGATGTATCACGACAAAATTGTCTTTGTAATCTACATGCATGAAAAAGTAAAAGAAACGCAGTTGTTTAAGAAATAAATAATCCAACATTAAACAATGTTTTCTATAAACAACACACCGTTAAAATGTTTATTCTGATGATTGGCATTAAGGAAGTTCAAAGGCAATAAAATGATTAAACCAACACCAGTTCTCTGATTGGTATGCAGAGAAGGTATAAAAAACTTGAAGGCAGATGACAAGACAAAGGCTATAGATCTGGCGAGTGTGGTGAAGCCTATCGGTACATGTTGGGTCATGTCGGCCTTTGATGCAGTGTTGCATTGGTGGTGACTGTCTGGACTGCTGGAGTGATCAATGATACCTAGTTTGACACGAGTTGGTAGAACTTGTGACCCCAGCAGTGATAACTCACCGGATGCCTATTGTGTAATTGCTATTCTTTGAATGACAGGGTAATATATGTTTGTGTTTATATTCAAGTTGGCATTTCGGCTATCCAAAGTGTGCAGTGAGGCCATCTCATTGTTGATAGTCATTTTGGAGACAAAAATGCGAAGTTTCATAAAAGCGAACAAAGACCGCTCACATTTTTTGGATTTCATTCACGCTACCAAATTTCACTCAATTGGAACCTCTTCAACATCATTGGTGGGTACAAGTCTGTAAAATTTCAGCTTTGCTGGTCCAGGGATTTCTAAGGAGAAGATGTTTACAATGGACCACGGATAAACAGGCCGCGACATATTCTTCCTTGACTTTCAATCAGATGAGCTGAAAGTGATACTGAACATGCTGAACCGTTCAGTGTATTAGAAGAACAGACTTATAACTGAAGTCCAAACTAATAGACGGACAGATGACAGATGAAGACCCTTGATATAATTGTTAATGTCAAGGTGATAAATACATTGTAGGTACTTATGAATTGAATTCTGATCATACACAGAACATTTTGTGAATGGTCCCAAATATATATATACATATATATTTATATATAATTTACTAACTTAGTGATCCTTGTGTGACTTCTATATTAACAAGAACAGATCCAGGTTCCTCCCCGTACACAAGATCCTTGGGATGACAGGCCAGTTTATGCTTCAGGAACTTCATCAAAGTCTTTTTAGTGGTCTTCTCTCGGAGTCCGGTGATGAAGAATCTGTCATGATACTGTGGCCGAGGGGGAGGAGGGGTGGGGGGTCTGTACGGACTCACCAGCAGCTTGTGCCCATCCACAGTGTGGTGTCGCTTGGCAACAACAGCTTCTGCTTCTGTCAAACAAAACCAGGGTTGGAAAAGAGTATGTAATTAAATACCAAAGCTGTACAATACACATTTGCCTGCAATAGATATATGCATGTATAATTGCTTAAACTTTTAATGCCAAGTTTTATCTCTTAGTTATTTTCTATTTGGTGCACTTTTGCTGCACCTTTGACTTAGCATCACAGGGCACCAAACAATTCAAGTCACCATTTTGGATATTGATAGTTTTCCTTGGGAATCCAATATATTTACACCCTTGGGTCCAGTCTTTTGGGTATTTTTACATAAATGTTTTTTTACACCAATTCTGCTTATAATGCAGTTTCAGATGACTTCTAATTGTATCTGTTCCAGTGCTGTCCCAAGTGTGTAGCAGTCACATAAACTCACAACAGAGATATACATGTCTAACTAACAAAAACAGGTACTCAATTTGAAAATGATACAATTATGCTGATTGTTTTTAAACCATTGGGTCTTTCATGAAGACAATTAAATTATTACTGACAGACAGACATTTGATGAGTGACTACACCTATTATTTTCAAAGACATATGCCACCAAAGGTCCTATCTGATTCATTTGTCCGAGGTTGTTAAACAGTTTTACCAAATCCGAATAGATAATCCATTCGGAAACTATACCTTCTTTGCTTCCAAAAACAACATATTTTGCGTGTTCTTGTACATCTGGAATGATCTCCTTCACGTCAGACCCCCCACTCCTCTTCTTGTTCTCGAAGTACATGGTCAGTACTTCATCATTTGTCTTCAATCCATATTTCTCCACTTTCACAACTGTTCCTTCTTTCTTTCCTTTCAAGACAGTATCAATGGTAACCAAACCTGGCTGTTTGGAAGGGAGATATTCAGAGACTTCAATCTTTTTCTTTTCTAGGACAAGTGGTGCCTTCTGTAGAACCCTCCTCACAACTGAAAACATAACATGCTAACACATTCACAAGTAGTTCAAGTAGATTTTCACAAACAGTTTCTTTACAAACCAGTCAAAGTCTGGGTATCATATCTTCACATCCTTAATGTAGTGGACATCATATACACATGTGTAACATAGAGGGGATGATATACACACGTGTAACATAGTGGGTATCATATACACACATGTAACATAGAGGGGATGATATACACACGTGTAACATAGTGGGTATCATATACACACGTGTAACATAGTGAGTATCATATACACACGTGTAACATAGTGGGAATCACATACACACATGTAACATAGTGGGAATCATATACACACGTGTAACACAGTGGGAATCATATACACACGTGTAACACAGTGGGTATCATATACACACGTGTAACATAGTGGGTATCATATACACACGTGTAACATAGTGGGTATCTTATACACACATGTAACATTGTGGGTATCATATACACATGTGTAACATAGTGGGTATCATATACACACGTGTAACATAGTGGGTATCATACACACACATGTAACATAGTGAGTATCATATACACACGTGTAACAAAGTGGGTATCATATGTGTATATGATACCCACAATGTTTCATGTGTTTATATGATACCCACCCTGTAACATAGTGGGTATCATATACACACGTGTAACATAGTGGGTATCATATACACACGTGTAACATAGTGGGTATCATATACACACGTGTAGCATAGTGGTATCATATACACACTTGTAACATAGTGGGTATCATATACACACATGTAACATAGTGGGTATCATATACACACGTGTAACATAGTGGGTATCATATACACACGTGTAGCATAGTGGTATCATATACACACTTGTAACATAGTGGGTATCATATACACACATGTAACATAGTGGGTATCATATACACACGTGTAACATAGTGGGTATCATATACACACGTGTAGCATAGTGGTATCAAATACACACGTGTATTGTAGTGGGTATCATATACACACGTGTAACATAGTGGGTATCATTAAACTTACATTTATAACATGGGGTTGGCATCATATAAACATGTGTAACATAGTGGGTATCATATGTGTATATGATACCCACAATGTTTCATGTGTTTATATGATACCCACCCTGTAACATAGTGGGTATCATATACACATGTGTAACATAGTGGGTATCATATACACACGCGTAACATAGTGGGTATCATATACACATGTGTAACATAGTGGGTATCATATACACACGTGTAGCATAGTGGGTATCATATACACACGTGTATTGTAGTGGGTGTCATATACACACATGTAACATAGTGGGTATCATATACACACATGTATTGTAGTTGGGGTCATATACACCAACCGTAACATACTTAAGAAAAATATAGCATGTGAATCAGCTCCGAGTTACCGTTTATCAATTCTGAAAATTTTCGTGTCATTTTTGATCCACAAGGCTTTGTTCCATTACAGTCTATGGAACATTAGCTTAACTAATGAGAAACAAATAATCTGATAACTGAAGAAAAGACAATTAAAAAACCTTCCTCTAACATTCCCATGAACATGATGGACATGTTACGTGTTTCATAGTAGGAATCTTGCATGTCTGTTTATCAAATGCAATTCATGTCTTGTGCATGTTAGTTTACTGAGTTTTACATGCCCTTTTTGAATTAAGGAATAATGACCCTGATCTGTGACCTTGCCAACAATATAAACAGGTACAGAATTAGAATAAAAAAAAATATTTTTGAAAAATAATAATTGACTTTTACTGAGTTCAGCTGGTACTTTTAGGTGTTTGTTGATTGTTTTATTGAACTACTTTAAGTGACTTCTTTTAGAAATGCTAGATATACATGTAATCAAACAACAACCTGTAGTCATTCTAAGCTGCTTCACTTACCATCGCCTTTCTCAAAGTAGACAAGAGCTGTTGCTGAATCTCTGTCAATCTCCACGATTTCCACCTCTCCTCCTCCATTTCGACGTCGGTTTTCAAAAAAGTCCGTCAGAGTTTCGTTTGTCACAGTATTTGCCAATCCTTGGACAAGGATAACAAAGACACTGTTATCATCTTCCTCTTCCTCTTCATCCTCATCCTCTTCTGAAAAAACCCACAAAAACATTCAATGACTGAAATCCTCATTTAAACAAGTTTCAAATACTCATTTTATCCCCTGCCAGTATGACATGTCTGGTTGTGTGCAAGGCATTAGCCCCTGTGAACTATGTTCACTGGAACTGTTTGTAAATGGCCTAATTGCAGCACTAAAAAGATAATTACTGGTGTTTCTTGCCATTTCAATAGAATTTGTAACTGTATTTGTGATGAGTTTTGTTATTACTAAAACAATAATCAGAGAAGTAAGGGAGTTCTTACTTCACTTAGAGATCAATGAGACAGGGGTCACCATGAGATGTACTAAGAAGTACAGCACCAATCATCTGATGATTTAAGTAGTAGACAGGAGTCTGGAATGCCACAGCACTGGCATGATCAGTAAACAACAAGTCCAGTGTAGCTCCAAGACAGTGACTTGGAGAGTGAAACAAAACGTGACGGATGGACGGAAGGATGGAAGGATGGATGGACAGCACCTATTACCATATCCCCCTTACACTTCGTGGCGGGGGTTAATAAAATAAAATCTGCTCGTATTGAAACAACAAATCAAATCCCTATGAATGGGAAAGTCATAGATCGTTTCCTTAAATTTTCCTTCTGCTCCAAATATTAATTCACTCTCAAGTTTTCAGTTGCCTGTCAACGAAAAAAGATATGATGCATTTTGGACACAAACTGCAGAACTCAAGAATCAATGACAGAGACTTGAAAGGTTTACAACTATACACAACTCAGGCAAAAATCCAAATTTGAAAAAAAAAAAATAGGTCATGAATATTTTAGTAGTAATGGACAGTGGACTATTAACAACATAGTTATTCCCAAAAATTAACCCCGACATATGACTATCGTAGTGCTATGATCGCTAGAAAAAAATCCTCAAATAGCAAAAGGTACACCTTCAGGATCTGTTTGACATATATATCTGCCAACTTTTGTTAATAGACATTGAACAGTTTTGAGTTGTGCTTCAGAAACGAAATCAACCCCCTTATGAGACTAAGTACAAATTGTTTCCATGGAAATCAAGATGAGACGATTACCCCCATCCCCCCCAATGATTATTATTTTGACATGATTGTACTTTGGAAATACTCTCTTGTTTGTAACAATGTATCATCACTACTCAATATATTGGTATCAAGATAAATGAATACTAGTAGCTGTAAATTATTACAACGTATCACTTCTCCACAATGATCCTGACTTCAACATAATTCAGTGTGCATATATATAATTTTCAAAATATTGTCCAATTACAAACCTGCAGTAAGGTACAGTTCTTCAGCTGCTGCCAGTTTCCGGTGGTGAGCTGATCGCGAGGGAATAGTGTACTGGGAAACCTGGAGAGAGACTCCTTGTATCTGGTGACTCCTCTGAAGCACAGCTTCCACATCTGAAAAAAAACATACAACATGCACCATATGTTCTTACCTGTGGAGTTTCTCAGGCTGTAATCACTGCAAGCGTTAACTTGGTCCGGGATAAGGTTGCAGGGATAAAGGGTTCCTAAATTGTTTGCCATTTTGTAGAATAATGATAAAGATTGATTTTTGCACCTTAGTGACAATGGTTTTACATTTGTTGCCACAACACAATTTCAAAATAAATCCTAACTTCATGACAAAGGAGGATATTATGAACCTACTCGGTATGTCCAATAGTTTCTGAGGAAAAAATGAGTTGCTGCGGTGGCCATTCTTAAAGATTACAATGTTGTAACCATGGACACATGGAACAGCTTGAATGGAATTCTTTCATGGTTGACAGAGAAATTAAAGGTAACACCTATCTCCTAAGAGTGAGTGAGTATGGTTTTATGCCGCTTTTAGCAATATTTCAGCAATAACATGGCAGGGGACACCAGAAATGGGCTTCACACATTGTACCCATGTTGGGAATCCAACCCGGGTCTTCAGCGTGACGAACGAATGCTTTAACCACTAGGTAACCCGGACGCCCCTTATCTTCTAAGAAACTACAGATAGTGCTGTACATTGTGGAATGAACCACCCCTCTCGATCAGAGCTGTATATCTTAACAGATGATTTTGCGTTCCATATGTATGGCCAGACCGAGTGCTCATGTTTGGTTTGGTTTGGTTTGGTTTGTTTGTTGTTTAACGCCGCACTCAGCAATATTCCAGCTATATGATGGCAGTCAATCCAGTAATTAATATCAGGAGCATCGATTCATGCAATTGGGATCTATGACATGCATCAACCAAGTCAGCGAGCCTGACCACCCGATCCCGTTAGTCGCCTTTTACGACAAGCATAATCGCCTTTTACGGCAAGCATGGGTTGCTGAAGACCTATTCTACCCCGGAATCTTCATGGGTCCCAGGTTACCCGGACTCCCCCTATTTTCTAAGAAACTACAGATAGTGCTGTACATTATCGAATGAACCACCCCTCTCGATCAGAGCTGTATATCTTAACAGATGATTTTGCGTTCCATATGTATGGCCAGACCGAGAGCTCATGTAGGTGAACTAACACCCATAATACAAATTCATGTTTATCATGTCAAGGTGAGCTAAAATAGATCGATCATACCAACCGTCAGGGTTCTCAAATGTGACAAGGACCACATCCTCATCTATTCTCGCAATGGATTTCACATCCCCTCCTCCACTCTTCTTAGTGCTCTCAAAGTACATCTCCAGGACATCATCCGAGATTCCTCCACATCCTGTCACTATAATCGTGTCTGGTGAGACAACAGGTGGTGGCGTTGGTGGCCTGGGTTTGTACCGGGAGACGTCAACATCCTTTCTTTGTATTTTGTGAGATCCCTTCTCTAACACTCTCTTGACATCTTCAAACAAAGCAGACACACATATCTTCACAATGAATAAGTACCCAAGTGCTTCTTTAGCTAGATTTTGGATCTATTGCTGCATCATCATGTCAACAGATGTCACGAAGATGCATTGATTGTCAACAGGAATTACTATCTGAATAATGGCGCTAAACAAAATGCCTATAAATTGAACCTGCGTTGAATTTTTACTCAAGGCTCAATGGTCTACACTTATGGACAGACACAAAGAGCGTTCATTACATGATGTACATGAGATGCAATTGATAATCTTTACATTGACAAATACACTTTAAACAACAGTGCCGCTCAAACTGGAATGACCTCAAGGTTAACACAGATGCTTGGGCCATGGGTTTGAGTGGAAAGTGAAAAAGTATCACGAAAAAGTTTGCGCGAACTAATTGTTATACCGCATATTGCCGTATATCGCTGTATACAAGGGTATATTATCATGGAGCTCAAGACATTTTTTGTGCTCTAAAATAGATGGAGGACTTGTGCTGGAGGAGATGGTGACAGTACTTTCATTCGTTGGATACGTTTTGAAACATTTATGCTTATCCTGACTCATACTAATTGCTTATCTCTTCTCATTCCAAAACACATCTTGTCCAAACGCTGCGCAGCCACACCAGAAGCATGTGACCAAGCTGGTACACTCATCACTCTCTCATTTCGTGGGGATGGCTGCGTGTGATCTACAGCGAATGAGTCAGTAATAGCGAAGTATAAATGATATTTTCACCCTATAAAATACATATTTGACCTTATCCTGACTGATACTAATGGCTTGAATCTCATGGTTGGTGGTGGGTAATAAAAAGTAGCCTTAACTTTTGACCTAAGAAATTTGTCCTTCGTCAATGAATACGTAAGGCTCTGACCGGACATGTTGATAAATCTTCCATATCTTTGGAGCCAAGTATAGATGATAAAAGTGAAATGTGAAACTGTCCATCTGGCTGACCTGGCAGTTGATTCTTGGCAATAAAATCACATTGGAGACCAAGATAGGCTTATGCATTGTCCAGAGGATTTCTTGTCCTTATAGCCTTCTGTATTCCGGAGAACCACCGCTTGAAATTGGTCACTTGAATAAACTGTTTAAACATAGAGTTCATAGTCTAGACAGATTTAATTATCATCTGGCCCTTGGAATCATTGTTGACTCCTCAGATCTGACCATTGAAGATAGTAGGGCAAGCCCAAGTTTGGCATCATAGAGGCTTTGTGTAGAAGGCTGACCAGTTAGAGTTGGAGACCGACCCTTGACTTTGTGACAGTGTAAGTCTGGCTGAAGCAGAACTTATTTGTTCGGAAATGGATTCCTGAAACTTCTGCTGGCTGACTATAGCTGACAATAGCATATGTTCACTGTCGGATTCTGAGTTCTTGAGGGGAAACATCATCACTTCATTAATAGAACGAGACATGGTCAATCCCAGATTTGCTTGTCTAACAGTGGTGTCAAATTGTGTGAGCTTCTTGTCCTTATCTTGTCATTGACTTTATTTTTTTTTATTAGGTGTGATAATGGTAGCCGCTTCTACTGAGGAGGATGACCGAGAAGAATCACATCTTTTATGGTCCGGCTTCTCCCTCTGTACTACAAACAAGTACGCTGCAAAGTCTTCTTCACCCAGGGAGAAGCAGAAACAGGTCTCAGTAGTACATGGTTAAGGGATGCATGTGGAACTGATGGGGTGTTGATTACAAATTGAAACACGCAAGCACCAGATATCCCAAACCCCAACATACAAATAGGGCAAACTTTTAACCCAAAACATAGAAAAATGTATGTCAAAGAAGCAAAATAAAGTTCTAGTATGATGAAGAAAGGTTTGAAGAATGTAATCCAAGCAAAAGAATTTAAAAAACCTAATAATTTTGATAGGATGGCTTGGATTAAGAGAGCACAGAAATTTAGCCCAAACCACCAAGCTGGCACGAAAATGAGAGAGTGATGAGAGGAATGGCTTGGTCAAGTGCTTCCGGCTGTGGGGTGCGTTCGGACAAGATGTTTTTCTGCTCTTGGGGAACACAGCACAGAAGTTTCCACTACGCTTTTCAAAATGAAATGAGACAAGCAATTAGTATGGATATTGGTCAGGTAAAGGCAAGGTAAAATAATGGTATCTAAAGGGGACTCATTTCGTAATTATAGAATAACCCACGAGGTACGAGTGATTACGGAAAATATGTCACGAGTGAAATTAATGTTTTAAGTTCCGAGCTTTAGCGAGGAACTTAAAACATTAATTTCACGAGTGACATATTTTCCGTAATCACTCGTACCGAGTGGCTTATTCTATTTATTACCCATATTCATATTAAAGACATGTTTCAAGAAAAAAAACAATCAACTGTCGCCAATCGAGAATCAGCTGTTTTGTATCAATCCGCGTGTGAAAAAACACTGTCCACTCATTCCAACCGCATTACCCAATTAACATGTTGTTACGCGTGAAAAAAATAGTTCTGTTAAAAAACTGTAAAGATCACTTTATTGCAGTTATATTTCTGTCGGATTTACACAGCGTACACTATCTAGCATTGATAAAGAAGACGGGTTTCCAAAAAGGTTCATCAGGTTACTTAATCAAACCTTGTTTTGACAAGATCTCGTCACTGACAGACAGCCCCCGTGGTGCATCGGCAGATACATGCATTTCACATTGAGAAGAGGAAACACGGAAAACCTGTCAATTTTTTTATGTGTCATTTGACAAAAATGCCAAAACCTATAACAACAACATAGACGGAATGTACAGAAGTCTTGTTTGTTAGAGAAAAGCTACGAAAAGAATGTAAACTTTGAAAAGTACGATTGCTGTCACTGTGTCGGAATGAATGACCCGACTTGACCCAGATATGAGACAGCCGAAACCAGAAATGACAAGAGAACCGGTTACAGTTTAATCCGGACAACAAGTTTAATGAACATCGTGTGTGATTTGAGACAAGTGTCAATGATGGGAAACACGTGCATGTGGGATTTCAGGAGGACTTGTCAAACGCGGAGTGGACAGTCAGATGACGAGAGTTTGTTGATATTTTGATGTGAATGTTGTGATTCATAATGGTCGAATACCTGTTGATAGACAAACACGGTATCTGGCATGGAGACTTGGTGCTAAGCTGTCCGCATTCACGGAGTTCATTTAGTTCAATATCGGACACAGGATCAGCTTGCTGGGGTAAGTTTTCTTTTCCTTGTATTTTTAATTATTTTTGTTTTGATTTCAAAACCTCTCCGAATTGAGCAAAGTGAATCGATTTCGCAACCAGATGCTGGTAATCATGTCGCTAAGGTTACACTCTATGCTACACTTGATCTCCTTCAAAGTAGACAGTTCGAATTCTGAACCGTCTGATGTGCATGCCGAAATAATAAATTTGCAAATAATAATGTTTAGTTGCAACTTTCCTGTGTCATTAACCCTCATAGTCATATGGTCCCCGGACGTCAGTCAGCCTGCATACCGCTCAGCGCCGTACTTTTGCAGACGTCGCGGTTACGAAAAACGTATACATTGTATAAAAAAATGTGTCACGTTCTTATTTCTTCACCAAACGTTACAAAATTGTACGAAATAGTGTATTGTTATGATGTCTTTCGGAAAGTCTAAATGTTGTTGCAAAATGAATTTGTTTTTTTTCTCATGCCATCGTTGAAAGTGTGAGTAGTCATATTTTTCGTGTTTTTCTTACCTGTATACATTTGTGAACTAAGTTCATGTCAACTTGTCAAGTTTAGTCTTTTTCATTGTGTTTTCATTTTCATTGGCAGTTTTCGATGTCATCATCGTTCACAAAGGCAAACCTGTCTATACAAAGTCCAGTTTTTGGATTCGGGTGGTCGAAAAATTCATCAAACAGCAAGCCCTCTAACACAGACGCAAAGGACTTGGTGGTGATGATCTTGGCGCCCTAGAAACAGTTGCTGGCAACATCACAATCTGAATCTTGGAACTTCAATCTGGCCATATGCAGTTTTGACAACAAAGACATTAAATGTGTTCAGAGGTTGAATTATACGAATAACTCTTCATGACAGTCAGATCTCCGTCCGCTTTAACGAGGTCATTTACTTTGACAGGTCTCAAATGGCCAGCCATGTTTGTTTACAAACGGGAACGTAGTTTTGGTTATTACTGTAAAATGAAAATCATGTGAAATAAATGAAAAATTGATAATGTGAAATCATGTTGTTAATATGAAACTATGTGTCTTGTCTTAAAAATCTCGAATCAGTGAGATTGTAGCACGTAAAATATCTGAAGGGAAAGGCGTGGATTTGTGAATGAATGGGATGAGAGAAAAAATAGTTCCGTTGTCCAATGAAAATTGATCTTTGTTCCACTGACCAATCAGCTTCGAGAATCACTAATTGCACACTGTGCAAATATCAAAAAGTTATTACACTGCATATTTGAGCCCATATGGGTAATAATCCAGATTTCACAAATGATCACAAAGTGCATTGGGCTGAATGCGCAGTAAAAACTTTAAGTTGATAATACTATCAACCATGTGTGTTGAGCAAGGAAAGACAGTTTCTGCTTCCAACTTTGGCCTGGTCGATCTCAATGAGGCATGATGGCAGGTGTTGATTTGCAATGAGTTCTATGTATTTGGGTATACTGTCGGTATGTTTCATGAAAAGGATTTAATTTGTTTAAGAGTAAAAAACATCAGTTAATAAGCCAATAAACGTTGTTGCTGTTCTGGATCCTTAGACCCAAGAATTGTTGCATGGTGTGAACTTACCTTCAGGGTCCTCAAATGTAACAAGGACCACATCCTCCTCTCTTCTCTCCATGGATTTCACTTCTCCTCCTCCACTCTTCTTCGTGCTCTCAAAGTACATCTCCAGGACATCATCCGAGATTCCTCCACATCCTGTCACTATAATCGTGTCTGGTGAGACAACAGGTGGTGGCGTTGGTGGCCTGGGTTTGTACAGGGTGACTTCAACATCCATCCCTTGAATCTTGTGAGATCCCTTCTCTAACACTCTCTTGACATCTTCAATTAAAGGAGACACACATATCTTTACAATAAGTACCCTAGTGCTTCTTGAGATTGATTTTTGCAGCATTCCAAAATCTAACAATACTTTTCATTGTATATAATTCTAAGAATACTACTGGCTAGCGACCAGTTATCACTGAGGACCAATTATCGCCAACTCCCCATTATAGCGCGTACTTCACTTTACTTTTGCTTGGTTACAATTCTAAAACCTTTTTTTGAGCTATTTTTCCAAAATTGCATAACCCTGCATATATCGCAAAATCCATAGTACATAGTGTTGAGGATAAGCATGTGTAAATTGAACTTGGGGAATATTGGTGTATGTCAGTTTGCAGACGACAAATTGATGCCAGAGAAAATGGAAAATGTAATTTGTGTAACTGAAGCGGTGTGCGTGATGACGTGTTTAGATAGATGATGGAGATAACTAGTACAGTTGGTCGATGGGAAATACCAATTTCTACTGTCTTGATTTCCTGTCGTCGCATTATAACAGAAATCTTCTGATTTTTTATTCCACTGACAGAAATATGTGCATTTGTTCCTAGTTTCACACAAACCAAAGTTTTTTGCACAGTTAACTTTGTTCACGGAATATTTCAGAAATAACATGAAAAAAATGGCTAAAACTGGTCGCTGACCAGTACCTCTATGACATCATAGCTAGAACTTCCTGTTCATGCTGAGAACCACGCTACAAATTTTAATAAATTTTCAACAGACGTCCTCTTCACTGCCAACATAATTATGTTACAGTTGTGAGGGAAATCCTATCCCTAGTAAGAAATGTCACTGCGCATGTGCAAGGCAGGAACTCCTCACTTCTTTCAACCCATAACCCTCATCAACTAGATGCAGATATTTTGGAGAAAGGCGGGATGGATTAATTCCTGATGTAACAGAGGTAGTATTCTTAGAATTATACACAATGATAACTATTGATAGATAATTCTTGCGAGTACCCTACCTCTAATACATCATAGTCAGTATACACCAGAGGGACTGGTGGAATCTGGTATCTAGTATCCCTTAGAAAGTTGGATTTTGTGAAGTATGAATACATATAAATAAAAGGACCAATTCACATTGCACGCATTGGGATGCATAACTATCACATCAGTGTGATCAGGTATGTGTGAAAAGACTTCAGAAAATATCACCAAAGTATGGCAGAATGAATTTGCAGTGAATAAATGAAGTTGCTAATATAGCCCCACTCCACACTCCAGACTGTCAACCACATGTGTGTGGAGGCAGGCTTTACTAATATAGCCTCACTCCACACTCCAGACTGTCAACCATGTGTATGGAGGTAGGCTTTACTAAAATAGGCTCACTCCACACTCCAGACTGTCAACCACGTGTGTGGAGGCAGGCTTTACTAATATAGCCTCACTCCACACTCCAGACCGTCAACCAAGTGTGTGGAGGCAGGCTTTACTAATATAGCCTCACTCCACACTCCAGACTGTCAACCACGTGTGTGGAGGCAGGCTTTACTAATATAGCCTCACTCCACACTCCAGACTGTCAACCATGTTCGTGGAGGTAGGCTTTACTAATATAGCCCCACTCCACACTCCAGACTGTCCATAACGTGTGTGGAGGCAGGCTTTACTAATATAGCCCCACTCCACACTCCAGACTGTCAACCACGTGTGGAGGTAGGCTTTACTAATATATCCTCACTCCACACTCCAGACTGTCAACCACGTGTGTGGAGGCAGGCTTTACTAATATAGCCCCACTCCACACTCCAGACTGTCAACCACATGTGTGGAGGTAGGCTTTACTAATATAGCCTCACTCCACACTCCAGACTGTCAACCACGTGTGTGGGGGCAGGCTTTACTAATATATCCTCACTCCACACTCCAGACCGTCAACCAAGTGTGTGGAGGCAGGCTTTACTAATATAGCCTCACTCCACACTCCAGACTGTCAACCACGTGTGTGGAGGCAGGCTTTACTAATATAGCCTCACTCCACACTCCAGACTGTCAACCACGTGTGGAGGTACCGTATATGACCGCGTATAAGCCGAATTTTGAGGACCAGAAAAAAGATTCTGTAGAAAGGGGTCGGCTTATCCACGGGATACACTTTCATGATAGTATTTTTCAGATCGTGATCTGTCAGAAACATCGCCTGAATGACGGTCCGATAGATTACAACTTCCCGAAAGTTTGGAAGTTGCCACAACTAGAGCCATTATTGTTATAAATTATCAATAAAGTTATTATTATACACCAATGTTGTCATTATTAAAAAAATGTTATGCATGTTACTACTTCCGATAATGTTTTCAATTGAATGTTCAAAGTTTATCGTTCTTCGTCAACTCCACAATCTTTACATGTAACAATATACGTAATTCACAGCTATAATATATAATCCCCAGATAAAATCGCCAATAGCTATTACGTACGTTTTGCAAAGTTCATAAATTGATAGTGAACAAGTGTCTACCTTTATTGAAAGGGGCAAATAAACAACTGTATTGGCGAGTTATTCCGTTCGCCATTTGCAAAAACATGTGATTAGCTGTTTCCTGTGACGTCACAAACGGTGACCACTGTGATTGCTTCCTGTTGTTTAAAGCAACACGGTACACAAGGAAATCAGCATTGATAATAACGGGCCGATTGCTATTGTCATGTTGTTTACACAAACATTTTCAAGTTGTGGGTGCTTAGCGATCGTGTTGGGAGTAGGGGCTTAATTCCTTTGTTTTCGAGAGATTAGTTTAATAAACTGGAAAAGCCTGTGAGTAAGTGATGGTCATTCAATGTGTTCATAGTATGATAGTTTATTTAATTCAATTGGATTAACATACAATAGTGGTGTAAAGGGGGTTATAAAAGTTGGTATATTTTTACTGACTGACATTTTCATCATGAGTTTTAAACGAAAACGCCATGCTTACGATGCTGAATTCAAACTGCGAGTTTTCGCTCCAGCTGATATATTTTCTCACGGGTTCAGAATTCTATATACACCGATTCACAAAATGGCGCTTGGTTGTTGATGGCAACTATAACGATCATTATGAGATTAAAAAAACCCACGAGAAACAGCTTCCCACATTATGAAAGTGGATGACTGGTTTGTTAAATCTTTATTAGAAATAATAATGACTTTTTCAATATAATTACAACGTTTTTCATCTTATATTTTTGAATATCTGCGAGTACCGGCACATGTCTTGCAGTCCGACTTCGCAGTGTTTTTTGTCTTTCAATTCCTGATTCGGCTTATCTGCGGGTCATATCATTTTCTTTCGTATTTCAATGGTCAAATTAACACCTCGGCTTATCTACGGGGTCGGCTTATCCGCGGTCATATACGGTAGGCTTTACTAATATAGCCTCACTCCACACTCCAGACTGTCAACCACGTGAGTGGAGGCAGGCTTTACTAATATAGCCCCACTCCACACTCCAGACTGTCAACCACATGTGTGGAGGTAGGCTTTACTAATATAGCCCCACTCCACACTCCAGACTGTCAACCACATGTGTGGAGGTAGGCTTTACTAATATAGCCTCACTTCACACTCCAGACTGTCAACCACGTGTGTGGAGGCAGGCTTTACTAATATAGCCTCACTCCACACTCCAGACTGTCAACCACGTGTGGAGGTAGGCTTTACTAATATAGCCCCACTCCACACTCCAGACTGTCAACCACGTGTGGAGGTAGGCTTTACTAATATAGCCTCACTCCACACTCCAGACTGTCAACCACGTGTGTGGAGGCAGGCTTTACTAATATAGCCTCACTCCACACTCCAGACTGTCAACCACGTGTGTGGGGGCAGGCTTTACTAATATAGCCTCACTCCACACTCCAGACTGTCAACCATGTTCGTGGAGGTAGGCTTTACTAATATAGCCTCACTCCACACTCCAGACTGTCAACCACTTGTGTGGAGGCAGGCTTTACTAATATAGCCTCACTCCACACTCCAGACTGTCAACCATGTTCGTGGAGGTAGGCTTTACTAATATAACCCCACTCCACACTCCAGACCGTCAACCACGTGTGCGGAGGCTGGCTTTACTAATATAGCCTCACTCCACACTCCAGACTGTCAACCATGTGTGTGGAGGCAGGCTTTACTAATATAGCCTCACTCCACACTCCAGACCGTCAACCACGTGTGTGGAGGCAGGCTTTACTAATATAGCCCCACTCCACACTCCAGACTGTCAACCATGTGTGAGGAGGCAGGCTTTACTTCCAACCTTGGTCTGGCTGACCTCAAGCAAGCATGATGATTGGTGTTGATTTGCAATGAGTTCTATTTATTTGGGGATATTGAGAGGATGTTTTATGAAAAGGATTTAATTTGTTTAAGAGTAAAAACATCAGTTAATAAGCCAATAAACGTTGTTTCTGTTCCGGATCCTCAGACCCAAGAATTGTTGCATGGTGTGAACTTACATTCAGGGTCCTCAAATGTAACAAGGACCACATCCTCCTCTCTTCTCTCCATGGATTTCACGTCTCCTCCTCCACTCTTCTTCTTGCTCTCAAAGTACATCTCCAGGACATCATCCGAGATTCCTCTACAGCCTGTCACTATGATCGTGTCTGGTAAGACAAGAGGAACTTCTTCTTCAGGGGGTGGTGTTGGTGGCTTGGGTTTGTACAGGGTGACTTTAACATCAATCCTTTGAATCTTGTGAGATCCCTTCTCCAACACTCTCTTGGCATCTTCAAATAAACATGACAATGCAAGTTGTTACAGTAAAAATGCCCCCTCCTTGTTAATGAGTGGCATCAAAAAACAAAAGTGGATGCCGTCTGTTTCTCATGGTTGCTATCTTATGGATAGACATTATGAGTGTGGAAATGTCACTTTAAATAATCTTACAGTCAAATACATATGCAACACCAATGAACATTATCACATATGTCGAAATGGAAAAGTCATTATTCTTTAAAGAGGGTCCTGATGGGTGGGTCCCATAAGCAGTAAGCAGTAAAATTTAGGGTACTTTTTCATTAAGCAGTAATTTTTCTTCTTTTTCAATAAAATCGTCCCGAAAATTCATCCTGACAATTCATATTTTTAATACCGGGTAAAATCTCAAATCACTTAACATTCTAGACTGGTCCCCTGCATCAGTTGCGCAGCCTGCTTTCTGTCGCGAAGCATTTGGATCTTGAAGACAGACTGTTTTTGACCATTTTAATCATTTTACGATAAGCAGTAAATTATATATTTACGTTAAGCAGTTATTTTTTGGTATTTTACGATAAGCATTTACAATAAAAAAAGATGAATTTTATGTTTACGATAGTGTTTGAAGGGTGTTTTACGTTATAAGCATTAAAACCCATCACGACCCTCTTTAAAAAAACAGTCAGTGGTCAACTCTGCTGCTCCAGACCTGCTGCTTCAACACTCCCTCCACAGCTATAAATCACACATCAGTATTAAACCATTACTAATTTGCCTTTATAATTTGCGTCTGATTTGTCATTTTCTTGGTTGATGGCTAGCAGACACATGTGCAACAGGGACTTAAATATCCTCAAGTGGACTCTTTTTCTGTTCCCTCCTTACAAAAGTCACAATAAAAAAAGGGCTCACTTATTGTAGCATCCCAGATGCTGATAAAGGTTTCCAAAAGAGTTGCAGCAAATCTGTATGCATTAAATGAGGAAATTTTGAACAGTTATCATTCTACATTATAGTATACAAACACATGTGTGTTTTGTTTGGGTCACATATCAACAGAATATAAAACATCAAGATTCAAATAATTAAACTGAACAAAAACATTACCTTTTTTAAAGAAAACTGAGCACATAATTTCATAAAAATATCCTCAAGAATCCTCACGATCCCTAACTTTGATTGTTTAGTACATTTGTCCCAATTAGCACGAAACAAGACAAGTTAGGTTTACTGCTCTGTCCTGTTCTCGTACTGCTGAAACCAAGGCCTACATGGGGTACATGCTAGTCCCTTGTGGTATCTATACCCTACCATCTGGACGTGCAAACTCCACCACGGCTGTTCCATCTTCTCTGTTCATCACATTGACAACAGGCCCCCCTCCCGATCTGCGGCGGTTCTCGAAGTACAGACTGATGCTGTCATTGCTGAGGGAGGCAGGTAGTCCTTTCACTTCAATTTTGTAACATGGAGTGATTTCTGGAAATATACAAAGGCACTTGTGTAGCACTATATGGTTTAGAATAGCCTCACGACCATACAAATATATTTATCAAACCTCCACGTCAGAATGATGAGATCTGATTGGTCCACATGATCATGATAAAATACGGTGTAACCTGCCTTCAAGGGTAATAAATTTCTCAGCGGGGGAATAAATCTCTTAATACCTCACCGCGAGCACTACAGGCTGCATGTGTATTTCTGAGAGACAGAATAAAACCTTTACCCCCGCTTCCAAGCAAAAAGATGCACACTTTTTCTGAGCCAATGTATGTCACGTGACATAGCACAAACTAACCTAAGCTCAATCGAGCAGCTGTTTTTTATAAATTGGGAATTTATTTGAATTATTTTATAATGTCATATTTAAACATGTGGGCAATATAAATTTGTTGTAGCGGGATCACGAGGGATCATACTGAGGTCACTCACAAGACTAGTGATCATGCATCTTAAATCTTCAAATTCTAATCATAAATTCTCAAGTTATAGCATTTCCGATTTTCTTTTTACCAAAACATTCCAAGGGTCATATAGAAAGTCTTCAACATTTCTCATAAAAAAAAAAAAAAAAAAAAAAAAAAAAATTGTGGCAATCATGGTAGCTTGAGGTAAAGTTTGATCAAACCCACTGAGCAGCCTCAATAGTGTTATTCTATTGGAATTCACAATAGTATGGAATGAGTCTTAGTTAGTTATAATAATTGATTAGAGATCACATTATGAAGGCTGAAGTTTAGCCTCAATAATTATGACACTACAATAACTAACTGGAACTTTATGTCTCATCAGACATGTCTGAAGAGAAATATCAGATAAACCTAACATGCCAATAGGACCAGCACTACATACTTGGTGCGCTATTCTCAGTCATATTGAATCCCGATTAGAAATTGGCACTAGTCCTATTGTCCTTGCCAAACTGCCCAATAGTAAAGGTATCCTAAGGACGAGTATAAATTGGCGATTTTTAAAGGTTTTGCTATATGTTATCATTATAAGGACTAGTGGACTGAAACTGTTAGTTTCTGTTGAATACAGAATGCAAACCTTCAATAATCTACCCTGGAAGATATCTACCTGTTGTGTCAGCACCTTCAGTTGACCTATCCCGATCGGGCTTCCTTGCTTTATCGCCTGTTTCCGCAGGGTCCGTGACCACGCCCTCATCTGTTCCAGTCCTGTCAGGTTCGGCTGCTGACACTGCATCTTTGATGGCAATCTTCTTTTCCATGTCATACTGATCTGAGATACAATGAACAGAGATGCTTCACACATCTATCATCAAACATACAAACCTGAAATTATCTCTCTATATAAAATACAAAAGTCAAAACATGAGCTGTATAAAACTATACTATAGACTATAAAAGTCCTCTGAAAGAATCGGTATGTTTGAAAGACTCAAATTAAGGGATGGAAATCTTTGCAAATGGGACAATGATTTTCAATTTTAATCAGTCCATATCATACGCAAATCTTCAGCAACCAGAAACCAGAAATGAATGGTCATTCATTTTAAATCTCTTGAAGTATATAGACAGCCACCAACATTTTGGTTCTTGTGAGCATAAAGTGCAAACAACAACTGAGCTGCCTACCCTGCTCCAGTTCCAGCCCTACTACCTACCCTGCTCCAGCCCTACTACCTACCCTGCTCCAGCCCTACTACCTACCCTGCTACAGCCCTACTACCTACCCTGCTCCAGTTCCAGCCCTACTACCTACCCTGCTCCAGTTCCAGCCCTACTACCTACCCTGCTCCAGCCCTACTACCTACCCTACTCCACTTTCAGCCCTACTACCTAATCTACTCCAGTTCCAGCCCTACTACCTACCCTGCTCCAGTTCCAGCCCTACTACCTACCCTGCTCCAGCTGCAGCCCTACTACCTACCCTGCTCCAGCCCTACTACCTACACTGCTCCAGTTCCAGCCCTACTACCAACCCTGCTCCAGTTCCAGCCCTACTACCTACCCTGCTCCAGTTTCAGCCCTACTACCTACCCTGCTCCAGTTCCAGCCCTACTACCTACCCTGCTCCAGTTCCAGCCCTACCACCTACCCTGCTCCAGTTTCAGCCCTACTACCTACCCTGCTCCAGCCCTACTACCTACCCTACTCCAGTTCCAGACCTACTACCTACCCTGCTCAAGTTCCAGACCTACTACCTACCCTGCTCCAGTTCCAGACCTACTACCTACCCTGCTCCAGTTCCAGACCTACTACCTACCCTGCTCCAGTTTGAGCCCTACTACCTACCCTGCTCCAGTTTCAGCTCTTCTACCTACCCTACTCCAGTTCCAGCCCTACTACCTACCCTGCTCCAGTTCCAGCCCTACTACCTACCCTGCTCCAGTTTCAGCTCTACTACCTACCCTGCTCCAGTTCTTCTACCTACCCTGCTCCAGTTCCAGCCCTACTACCTACCCTGCTCCAGTTTCAGCATATTTCCCTGATGTCCATCATAAGGAGGGGGTGGTTCTGGTGGGTACTGATGACATCCAGGATAAGCAGGATAAGATGGTCCATCTTGCTGTCCTGGGTAAACCGGCGGGTGTACGGAGTATGAGCAAGTGGGGTGCGGTCCAGGTGAAATGTCTCTTCTAGCTGGAGAAACTGCTTGGGAAGTTTCAGTGGAGGTTTGGTCATTCTGTGTCCTCTGATCATTTCTGGGTGGTGTAGGTTGTTGGCCTGTCTGTCCAGTGGTCTCATCACCGTGCTGGGAGAGGTTTGGATGTTGCTGCTGGCTTCCATCAGGATGGGGGTACTGATGCTGACCAGTTTGTGGACTAACATACCCACCATATCTGTAACCATAATAGCCAAACCTAGGATCATAATGTGTTTGGGGGTATGGAATCTGCCGTCCTTGAGGGTGGGGATATGATCCCTGCGGATGTGGATAGTTAGGCTGTCCTTGACCAGGCCACTGCCCTTGCTGACCTGGATAAGGATATGAGGGCACCTGTTGACCCGTCTGTCCATGTCCTTCAACACTGGGGTGTTGTCCACTGTCCTGAGGTGGTCCTTGACAAGGCCCTTGACCCGGCTGACATGAGTAAGGATGACCTGTAAAGCCTTGCTGATATGGCCCCTGAGGTCCTGTCTGTGTCTGTGGTAGCTGTTGAGTATTAGTGGAAGCAGGATCAGCTTTGATGTCATCCACTCCTGATATATGCCCATCTGAAGGTAGGTCTGCTCTATGAGTGGCGTCCTTCAGATGTTCAGCCATCCCAGCTGCAGGATCAGGTGGCTTTCTGGCATCCATCTGAAGAGCAAGCACACAAAAAGGTCAAAAGGGAGTCAAAGGAAGAACAGTTTGTTTTTGCTGCAGTCAGTAAGTAATCATTTTTTTCAGTATTCAGAGGGGCGGTCGGGTAGCCTAGTGGTTAAAGTGTTCGCTCGTCACACCGAAGACCTGGGTTCGATTCCCCACATGGGTACAATTTGTGAAGCCCATTTCTGGTGTCCCCCACCATGATATTGCTGGAATATTGCTAAAAGCGGAGTAAAAATTAGACATTTTCTGATGCTTGGAACTGTGAGAGAAGTGATCAATTTCTGGTAAAAACAATCTTATTCTGCAATTGAGTTCTTTGGCAATGACATAATTTGGTCCAAAATAATTTTTAAAAAATGTTTGGCAGCCCATGCTACATAAAACATCTTTAGAGTCAAGGGTATTCTGGAACAGCTATACCAGCCCTGCATAGTATGGAAATTTGTTTTGTTTTTTTTGTTTGTTGTTTAACTTCACACTCAACAATATTCCAGCTACATGGCAGCAGTCTGTAAATAATCGACTATCTGGACTAGACAATCCAGTCATTGATATCATGAGCATCGATCAACGCAATTGGGATACGATAACATGCATCACCTAAGTCAGCGAGCCTGACCACCTGATCAGGTTAATCGCCTCTTATGACAATCATAGTCGCCTTTTATGGCAAGCACGGGTAGCTGAAGACCTATTCTGTCCTGGATCTTCACAGGTCATTTCTAGACAGTACTTTGATTACATAAGTGGGGAAAGTACATGCCTCTATCATCTCACATTACATCAAGACCCTCAGATGTGTGAAGATCATTGTTTTCACCCTGGCTATCCAGCCTAGGCCTATTTTGGAAACTTGACCACTGTTACTGCTAGGTCAATATAATCACTTACTATTTCGCTATTACCACAGCTTTTGTATTTTATACTGCTATTAAATTTTGTACTGCCATCGAAATAACTTTGCAGTAATTTGTATTGATTTGTAAACCCAGTTAATTAGATAGTACAATTGTTACTTGTAAACCACTTTTTTGTTGTTGGTTCACACTGAATTCTTTTAAGTGTAGATTTCTGGGTTAACATATTGTTTTAAGTTGGAAGTCGACACGTAACAATATTGCCATGTGTGATTTTACTGTACATGATTATCTTGAAATGGCAATAACAATGACATATGATTCATCCTCTGCACTACCGGTGATTCAGAAAACAATGCCTCACATCAATATTTCAGTGACTGTTTTAGTTCGAAGATCTAAGGAAGATCTAAATCTGCAACAATTATTGTATTGTACCACAACTAAACTCTCTGTCATTCTTGTTGCATGTTGGTATTTAAAAACAGAAATACATCGCTAGTTTAGAAATAAATATTCAATGAGTATTTTTTTATGCATGGAACAGTTTCACGGGTCACTGTTTGAAATAATTATTAACCACTGAAAATCACTATATGGGCAACACCCCTAAACTATGGATCAACTTATGATCGACAACTCAGTTTATATTAAATTATGGCAATTAAGATACCCTTCACCACGAGTTATATATAACTAGTCATACTACAGAACTATGGCCTACTCAGTATAATGAATAAATATTTATTGAAACCACAGGTCAAATTAGCCCAACTACATGCATAAACATTTAGCTAACCCTATCATTGAATACACAATGCCATTTAGAGAGTGGTTAAATGTAACCGGTTATATTTGGGATAACACTTTCTTAGTAAAGTACAGATTCTCATACTTTTTGGGGTTGAGTCCCGTCCGGGGTTCGAACCCACACTTGCCAGAGTGAGGCACCTCATCGCCAGCACACAAAGTCAGCGATCTAACCCACTCAGCCACCGAGGCTTCCACAAAAATGAAAGTCCGACAACTGGTAGTCTAGATTACGTACTTTGAGTACCCCTCTGACAAGTGTAAATTGGCAGGGCTCCTATGGAGCAATGCCATTTAGAGAGTGGTCAAATGAATCCCGGACGGGACTCAAACAAAAAAGTATGAGAATCTGTACTTTACTAAGAAAGTGTTATCCAAAATATAACATCGGTTAACCCTATCATTGTTTGTAATTGAGGCAATGGTTACAAGGCAGCTGCCAGTGTTCAGTGAGCGTTATGTGATGTATCATCTGAATATTAGCTGGTTAACGAACTTGCCAGCACCTCTTTCCATGGATGCAGACCATGAGCTTATTCATCGGTTAAAAATAGAATAATGGCTGTTTACATCCATTGTAATAATTGCATTTACCACATCAGTTTTCAAACTCATTTGAGATCATGACCAGTAAGACCAGTGGTGCAAATTTCATTTCTCTGACTTAAATCTTGTAAAAAGGTTTGGAGAAAAAATTTCCCTTTTAAGATCCGGACGGCAGAAGGAAGGAAGGAAGAACTCTGTGGCAGGGGATAATAACAGTGTAATTATAAAAAATCTATCATGTACATTTTTCTCGACTATTGGCTCAGTGTACACCTCCACATGAGGGTACATCAAGGAATATTCTCCTCGTGCTAAACCTACAACTTATATGTCACATGATTGCATGTTGATTGCATGCTGTTTGGTAAAATATAAAGAATACAAACTAATGTTAACTACACATCCAAATATGTTCAACAATCAATCCTTATAAATATACTGCAGGGGCGGATCCGGCATGTTGAAAAGAAAGGGGTTTGCAACATACTACATTTGGTTTTCAAAAGGGGAGTGAGGTGTGGGGTGTGGGGGGTCCAGACCCCTCCTCTGGATCTCCCTATGTATTGAAAAACATTAGAATATTAACAAATGAGCGAAGTGAGTAAGTTGGGTTTTATGGGGGTTTTTTTAACAGTACTCCAGTTATATCAAGACGTGTCAGCTTGATGTGGGAGGCGGACCTGAAGTGATGCAGGTATTAGGCATTTACCAGTTTTGTGAAACCCCTGAACATGGGCTGACACACCTAGAAACATATAGGGGCGGACCAAGATTCGAACCCACGATGATAGGTTTCTGGCATGCCAAAGAAAGTATCTCAGTGGGCTGACACTAAAAAATCAATATTAGTCCGGACTAGTACAAGCAGTCACACACACACATTGCTATATAAGTGCAACAATAACTGTAAAACCCCATTACACCTCACAGTGGTAGTGAGTTGCCTCCCCTTATTCTATTTCATACACACATATTTCTCTGGTATGGCTATAGGTCAAAAGGGCCACAGACTCCTTAGTTAAAATGGATAAACCAAAAAGTCCAATCTTCCATTTGACTATCACCCTGTGGTACAGTTGTCTTTTAAAAAATACTGAAAGTGTAGATTAGCAAAGTCATAAATCATCCACAAGGAATCTATGTATGTCCAAAGTATTGGTGGGTAGGTATTTTCCCACTGCAACTTCAATTATTTTACACTAGGTCACAACAAAAAACAAACATATGACATCAACAGACATTCCCTTTGAGGCTTTGACCAGCAACAACATACTAGTATTCATAAGTCATTCAAGCCTCTACTATACTATCAAAATGGCTGCTCTGATAAGTAATGATATTGATAAAAGCTGAAAAGAAAGTTAATTTAGTTTACAATGAATAGAAGGTTAGCAAAAAAAATAAAAGTTAACATTTGTGGATATACACACACTCCAACAAAGGGATTGCGACACTGTTGCTTAATGGACGGGGATCTTACAAACGAATAAAGACGTGATTGAAGAGGACTTTCGGTTTCAAGATGAAACAGAATTGACAATCCGTTTCAAACGTTTAAACTAAACGTGGTAGAATAACTTTAAAGGTGAAATCTTATAATGCGCATTTAAACTGTTTGACATTTTCGTTCTGGGCAGACTGCTCTCTGGGACGATTTGCCATTATTCATGTTAGTGATCAGATGGTGATCGAATACTTGCCAGATAGCCATGTAGAATTAACAGTGACACACAACAGCACTCGCAGCTGAGTGCAGAGCGATGACAGCTAATATTACCTCCTTTCGGACGAGATTCGAACACTTAATTTCTTCCTGCTTCAAATTCCCTTTCACAGGAAGGTAGAGGCATTGTGTGACCAACTGTCGAATTGATTCGTTCCTGAAATTGATAACGAAAGAAAGATTCGCATATATCGTACTTTCGTTTTGTAAGTCACGTGTCAAAACATTGTATTTTCCTTGCATCGACAAGGGTCGCTAAGGCTCCTTTGATAGCATACTGGATTTACTTAGCCGTGTTAGGAGCTAGTGTGCCATACGGCAAATGTTATCTCCCTTACACGATACTGCTTCCATAACCCAAACCTGCGTGTCAATATTTTTACCTTTTTCGGCTGTGTAGCTGGTAACAGGTCATTTCTTATCCCTGTAGTTTCGCTATCTGTAGTACGTTTCATATCTCTGCATTTTCGTACCCCCCTCGTCGGTTTCGTATCCCTTTGTATATCATATTTAAAATACATCGATTCTATTTAAAGCCTTGACCATCATTTAGGGACTGCTCATTCATTATAGGGTGGAGGGGTCGTGGGTCATGAACAATTTAGGGCCGGGACGGGTAATTCGGGTACTCGGGGCGGATGGGTCCTGAGTAGGACCCGGTACTCACGGGATTACCCGGACCTGTGGTTAGTCATGTGATATATTTTTTATAACAAGAACAATAAAATTCCATAGCTACAATCAAATACAAGACGCTAATGTTCGCATTTTTTTCTGACTGTGCGCACATTACTTCTGATTTTTATTTGTTTGAGTAAAGACAAAGCTAGATACAGTTATATTCAAGGACTGAAAAGTCGGACTTGGTTGACGCATCCCAATTGAGTAGACCGATGCTGATGATGTCTGGTCCAGGCTTGATGTATTTACAGACCGTCTTCATATAGCTGGCATACTGCCGAGTGTGGCGTAAACAATAAGCAAACAAAGAAACATATCTGAACATGTCCAACGTGTTGCCTCGGAAACGCAAACAATACAAGTTTTAAAACGATATAGCAAAAATTGAAAACTCATCACTTGACTTATGTGTTTAGAAAGTTTCACAACAAAAAGGAAACAGTTTATGACCTTTTCTCCGGAAATGAATCCAACTTTTCTACGCACCTAATGCCTGACTGCCTGGAAACGCAAACATACAAACTCTTGAAATCCTGAATAGCAAATTGTACTTTCAGCACTTTTCTGGTGTGTATATGTTACAATTAAAACATCACTTATTATATATAATACCTGAATATTTCAGGTATTGTGTGTAAAACCCGATTCACTCAGATATTATACATAATAACTGAAATTTTCAGGTATTATACATACTATCTGAATTGAAATTGCAATGTTAATGTATGGTAGTTAACTTTTGTGCTGTTTTATTTGTTTTGATGTTCACTAACTAAGAAACTGATGAAAACATCTTTGTGTAAAGAATTGCTCAGTATTGCTATTTCTCTGAGATTGTCAGTGCAGAGAGAATCAATACAGTTGTGGTTGTCAAGCTTTTATTATATGCAATTGTGCTGACACCAAGAAATGCTAAAGTAACAGATGCAAATGCTACAATTCACGATTGATGTGCAACTCAAGATGACATTCAAGCCTCTCCTGCACAAAAAAAATGTTAACGTACAACCAGTAACTATATAAAATGCCTGACAATTATCAGATATTGTGTATATTTCTTTAAAATTTCAGTTATTATGTATAATAACAGTGAATCAGCTTCTACACATAATACATGCAAATTTCAGGTATTACACATAATAACTGACCATACGTTTTAACTGTAACATATACATTGATTCTGCCCCAAAGCGAACCCTGCCCTTTTGTATTACTGTGTGTAATTTGTTTAGAGGATTTACACGGTTTTGCATGACAACAAATTCAAAGAAATAAAGCATGACAGCTTGATCAAAAGCCTTTTAAGAAATGTTGGTGGATAGTTATTATTTCTAAAGTTGAAAAGAGTTCGTTCTGACAAAGTAATGATGCGGTTTAAAGGATTGTACTTTTCGATAAATGATCAAAAAGAACAGTTTCATTGAATATTGTTACCAGGCTTTGCATTTTGTGCGATATCCAAATTTCCATGCCTCGCCAGATGTAGCTGTATTAAGATAAACCTAGCGTAAATCATAGAACAAACGCCGGTTCAACCAACACAGGGAATATAACATACATTTGAAGCAAAATTGAGAAGTAAAATGTGATAAGAAACCACACCAGCTTTGAATAAACTCCGGGTCAAAGGACATTCGGAAAGAATGCTAATTGTCTGGAATTTATGGTAAACTTTGATGCGAGGCATCCACACACCCCAAACACTTTCTGAATGACAATAGGACAACGTTATGTCAACTCCGGTGAAATAAATTTGAAAGTTTTGAAAATCACACCATTTACATGCCATTGTATAACATATGCACACTATTACAGGTTATGCCTCTAAGGCTACTGTACACTTTTAAACGTATTTACCATAAATATCCACATTCAAAATAACACAATATAGATTAAATATGATACCCCCACACAATACCAGACTCGATTCCCCACAAGGGTACAATATTTGTTGGATGTTTAACGCTGCACTCGACACTATTCCAGCTACATGACGGGGGTCTGTAAATATTCGAGTCTCGGCCAGACATTCCAGTGACTGACACCATGAGCATCGATCTACGCAATTGGAAGACGATAACATGCAACAACCAAGTCAGCGAGCCTGACCACCAGATCCCATTAGTCTCCTCTTACGGCACGCATAGTCACCTTTAAAGGCAAGCATGGGTTGCTGAAGACCTATATTATACCCAGGATCTTCAACAGGATACACTACTCGTGAAAATATCTTCTTACCCCTGTCACATGATGAGAAAAGATGACATTTCACTCGAACATGAAATATCCTCTACATATTCAATAACTTACAGATATATATATACATACATGAGCTGCAAGTCAATATTAATGTTATTTCAAGTCCTACCTTTTATAGCCAAAGCTTAAACTCACAATACATCATGGGTCGAGGCAGATTTGTGCCTCTTGAGTGTTGCAGGCTGTTTGCCATTTACCGAGTATGATAATACACTTCCTAGAAATCAGTTAACACTTCAAAAGAAAAAGAGACGTTTCCAGGTAAACACCCAGTCCTGTGCATGTCGGGTGGAAGGCTATACTATAAAAGGAAGTGATATCTCACTTGACATACCAACATGGCGATATGTAGTCACAATCTAAATCGGAACTGGGCCAACACGACTCGGCGAGATCAGTATATGTTCGAGGTGTGTTAGTGAGTGAATGCTATATTCCGACTGTGTTAGAGCGACCTGTACATCAAGGTAAAGAGCCATCACTGCAAAAATCTGTACTGGGTAAAAAACACATGCTAGACATGCTACATGTGTTCGGGATTGTGGTTGATTATAAATCATTAACGGAACAAGGACTTTGCGCGTTTTATGTAAACAATCATTCCTGAATGCATATGCGGCATTCTCCTTATACTGGCATTCCATAGTTACCTCCCCTTCGCGAGTGAACAGGTTATATGAACAACTTATCTACTGTCATCAAAGTATTTATCGGGTCGGTGAGGTAGCCCAGTGGTTGAAGCGTTCGCTGTTAACACCGAAGGACCGGTTTGATTCCCTACATGGGTACAATGCGTGAAGACCCATTTCTGGTATCACCAGCCGTAATGTTGGTTGAATATTGATAGAAGCGCTATTAAACCCAGCCCACTCTGAAAGCATTTATCAAGTCGGACGCTGATACTGATTTAAGTAATATCTGCCAATTATCCAAGACACAGTAGAAACTGGATATTAGGATTTGTGTGGTTTTCTTTCTTTGTGATAAATACAACACCATGTGTTTTCAGAATGTAGTTCAGTCTTCATTCTCGAGTTATTTATTGATCGTGGATTCTTCACATCGGCGCAATGTGCGAGGCACATTTCTGGTATCCCCCGCCGTGATATTGCTGGAATATCGCTAAAAGCTTCGTAAAACCTGATTGGTGTGAGTACTGCATGTTTCCCCGCGCATCTTTGGAATCATCTCGTTAACACGCTGAAACTAAACTTAGAATGTAGTTTGGGCATCAATATGTTTACACATCGAAGCCAAAGTTTCCCCGAATCTTGGGACAATAACATGTTTACGCATCCAAGCTGTGGTACGATGTATCTTGGAAAATCAATATATTTACACTTTAAAGCTATAGTGTAGGTGTATCAATGGACAACCTGACGTTAAAGATAATGGCCTGGACACAATCAGTGGCTAGCCTTAGAACCCTGCCACACCCCACAACCAGATACTGTATCACACAAGTGTAGATGTTGTAAGGCTACACTTTGTGATGTTAAATTTATCTTAAGAAACAACTGATGAGGATCAAGCGTTGTGAACAATGCGTGACCTTGCTTGTGGGTGTCTTGTCGCGACGGCATGGATCGTTTATTTTCTAATGCCATCAACACCAGGGTGCCGTTTCACGAAAGCCTCTTAGGGATACTAGTGATACAGTATCCGGTTGTAGATGTTTTCTTGATCACAGGCTTCCTTTTAGATTTTCCTTGAAAACAAATTTGTATTGTTATTAACTAGAATTCATGATATAGTGACTTGATTTTTTTAATGTTAATACAAATTTACTATTGAATAAAGTTGCATAATGTTTAATACATACTGGCTCTGATAGCAGGAGTCATCATTATATCCTCCAGACTGGCTTGGTTCTTTTCTGAAATGTATATAATTTGTTAAGATAATTGTAACGATCTCACATGGGGTACCGGTATTCAGATTGTTCACATGTATTTACAGCATACACTTGGATTTTTAGAATAAAATAGCACCAAGTATATGAATTTATTCACCATGTCAGTGTAAATTGTAACATTTGATTATCTTTATTAATAAAATTATTTCATACCTGTGCTAGTTCCACAATCAGTTTCTCCTGTGCTTACTTAAGCACGTAGCTGTCAGTGGAGTGTAAAACACTTCCTGTGGAGAATCTGAAATATATAAGTTGTGAGAGCACTAAAATATTTGTATTGAAGATATTGGTCAATTGTGCCTGACCATTAAGTGCATTGAGAGTCTCATACATTTCTTCAGTATACATGTGTTCATTTATAATACATTTAATATGTAAGGGGAATTTGCCAATATGCAGGAGGCAAAAAGGAGCAATAGTGCCTACAGATAAATCAAAATTTTATCAACAAGATATTACAACACACATTTAAGAAAAATGTTTATTAAATATGACATAGAAGAGCTACACTTTAACATAAAAAGTATTAGTTTTTTAATATGGCAATATTTAGTTTATTCACATCTTCAAAACAAAGAAATAAATGAGTTTGAAGTATTATTTACCAAACATTAATGCCTGTGTAGCTCTTCAGCTTCATCAGCTACTGAATGAATCATGCTGAACACTGTTAAATTAATAAAACATATTTTCCATTGGTGTTATCATAGACAAATACTGTCAATATTTCATAAATATACCATCAAATACACATAAAACTTGATTAAGTTACATACTTTATTGACTTTAATACACATGTCCATGAATCCTAAGAAGGAAGTGCCATCATCATCAGGTGTTTCTATGCCCCCTGGGATCCCCTCAATAGCACAGGATGGAATCAGTTGTAGAATTTATTTAAAGAAGGAATTGGTGGCTATATTACTATAATAATAGTTTATTTTAAAATGTGTAATACACAATTAGTTTTTCATGAATTAAGTCTATTGTTACACAAACTCAATATGTGTCAAACCATTACTTTATCAGGTACATATTGAAACATTTTGTTTGTAGGCTTCATGCTAACATGAATTTATGTTAATTATTTACCCTCTTTTCAGTTGCAGTTAGGTCATGTTAAGTAATGGTGTCATTTGTGAAAATTATTTGAAATTGGTATCTTTATTTGAAAATAAGACTGTACTGTGTAAAATACGTGTAAGATGTTACTTTATTTGTTCATCATAAATTATAACACTTCCAGTTATGCCATGAAAACTGGTAAGATTGATGCTGTGGTTTTGAGGAACAATCACTCACCTGTTCTTTCATATTTGATCATTATGCAATGATCATTAACAGTGAGAGGTTAATAACATTTTGAAGTGAAGTGGTGGTTAGTAGTTGTTTATGTCAAAAAGTGAAACCAAACAAATTAAAATAATCTGACCTCATTTAACTATCATTACATTATGTAGTCCAGTATAGCAGTATAGAGCCACTTCTCTCAACTTACGTTGGAACTCACTTTTAGATTTTATGAGAGTTTCATTTAATGTATCATCAGAATAAAAGGCGCTTACTTCGTGGTGATATCTTTCCAAATCTTCTTCTTTGCATTATTTGTCACTGTATTCGTAAAGGCCGAATTCAGCATGTCAAAATTACTTTCCACACCTGATACAATGATATCTATGTCAGCCGAGGAGAAGTTTCTCTTTCTTTTCTTTAGTCCAGAAGCGTCCATGATATATATGTCGTCTGCTGTTACAAAGGGGAACAACTCTAATATTACAATCTTCCGTGTTTCCACACAAGAGAGTTACTATTTTTGCCGATGCAGCTTGTTGTCGCTGGATTTACTATTCAAACCATCACACTTGACAGCTATTGATGGAACTATGTGTGACTATCATTAAACTCGAACAGGTTTGTAGTTATCTATACTCACCATTTGATATTTTATTTCATTCATGTTAAGCATCTGGCTCTTGTTTGATAAAAAGTAACAGGTGCGCTTCCATTTCCGGTTTGAAATTAGGATGTCGTAAATCGTAATCTCACTCTTATCTTATAGAGGGGTTTACGACGGGCTTACGATGCCTTTGTGAAACGGTCGTAAAACATGTCGCTAGGACATCCTAAACTAGGTCGCAGCGCTAAGAGGCTTTCGTGAAACGGCACCCAGGACTGCCTGATCTGATATTGGATTAGTTGCATACTGATCACGTGACATAGGTGGACACTTACGACTGCGGTGTAAAATAGAACTCATTCAGTCACTTAGTACTGCGCGACAAAATGTTAGTGGAACAACGTACGAACCTCTGACTGGCATTATCTGCATTACATAGCTTTATTTAATTCATTCTTTGAAGATTTAAAATTTTCGAAAACAGAGATGAAATAAGAACATTAAAGGCCTGGAACAATATACACATTGACCACACAAACTGAATAGCTGTTAACAGGAGAAAAGTAGTTTACTTTTACTTATTATATGCAGAAAAACATAGTCAAAGAATTTTCCGAACTGATAAAATACGTGATGTTGTTTTGACTGAGGAACAGAGCAGAGCATGGAACTGAGCATTGGATCTTATAAGTGTACATGTATGTCAGACATTGTAAGCATTTACCTTAGGATGTAATATTCAGAAACAAATTTTAGTAACATACACTGGTTATTCTTGTGGTTCACCGATTACACCGAATGTCATGTTCTCATAGGGACAGGTAATTTATAACAGAGGTGTGTGTGTGTGTGTGTGTGTGTGTGTGTGTGTGTGCGGGGGTTCAGAAGACTCCTATGCACTAATGAAAAGAATACTGAAAGTAATTACCCTTACCTCATGATTGTCATTTTAGCATACCCCTTCCGGAAAAGACAAAATGCCAAAGCAATTTATTTTTCATTATAAGATGTCTATTTTATGTAATAACCCTCCCGTATTATTTTGTATGACACTGCCGTAGAGACTGTCATATTTTTGAGTGACCCTCTCCTGACTACCTCGACACCCCGACCCCCCAACCCCCACCCTCACCCTCAGCAATAATGACTGCTGAAATAGGGGTAAGTGGGTGATTTGGGGTAACCCACATTTGAACGGTATTATTTCAAGGGGTGTCAGATCAGCTTGATGTTGTCCGAAAGTCCTAAGTTATGTGGGACGTTTACCACTATGGTGAAACCCACGATTATAGGTTTATAGTTCGCCTAAGTGAATTCTGGCGCTCAGGACGACTTGGTCACCCGTGCCCCCACTGAAATATGGACGTGTAGATGTAGCACGTATAATGCTTTTAGGAAAAAATATCTACAAAACACATAAACACAGTTAAACTCCTGCAATACCAACAAATAGACAAAATATAACATGTTATAAACAATAGTTGTTTTAAAATAGAAAAGCGTGTACTTTCATTAACCATAAGACCATAG